AATTCCTCTCGGTTATATTACCCTTGATCACGCCCTACCAGGCTTCCTACACCCTCCTCACCACCTATTTGAACACTTGTTGTTCCCTTGTTCCTAGGTTTGTTAACATCACGCCCTTTCCTTGCACCTCCCCCTCTCCCATGTTCCTCTGGAACCTTTGGTCCTGTTGTTTCCTCTTCCAGATAGTTCATCCAGCCTATCTTATTTAGACAGATCTTTGGAGATAATAACGTGCCCAAAAACAAAACAAAATGGTAACAATAGCAACAACAAAAAACAACAATGAAGAAAAGCCTGTAGTTAGTTCAAGGACTGTTTATTGGCCTTTAGGAGTGTTTTCCGGTCATGTCTGATGGGGTGCCAATCCCTGGCCCCAGATATTTTTGCTATTCCCTGGGGACTTCGTTGCTCAGTTCCCCTTGCTGTTCTGTTGCACGCCCTTAGTGTTTTGCCTCGGTGTGGTGGGTTCAGTTAGGGGGCAATTCCTACACTGTGTCTCCAGTGTTGTCCCGTGTAGGGCTATGGGTCAGTGAGGGATGTCGTGTCTCATAGTGGGGCCGGCCACATGGTCTTCTCTGTGGATTGGCTGCTCTCAGCGGGAATCTCATCATCAAGGCTTGGTGGGCCAGAATGTGATCCACTCTCTCTTCCTCCCCTTCATTTGCTCCTGTGTGCTCTGATCAGATATGTCCCTCTCCCTGAGCTGCATCTTCAGTGTTGTCCTCTGAAATAAATTCTTCTGGGGCTTTCTTGTCTTTTTTAATGACCCTTTTCATGAAGGATGGTCTTGACATCATTCCACAGCTCATCAGGCCTTTATCCATTAGTGTTCAATGTGTCAAATCTGTCCCTGAGATGTTCTCAAAATTCAGGTGGGATAAACTCAAAGCCATATTTTGCTTCTCACGGATTTGTTTTAAGTTTCTTCAGCTTTTCCTGAACTTAGATATGAGTGATTGATGGTATGCTCCACAATCAACCCCTGTTCTGGTTTTAGATGTTTTCAATTTGATTTCTGTATATTGCATCGGGAGAAGTTTACGTGTGTATAGTCATCTTTTCTGTTGTAAAAAGTATTTGCTATGAACATATAATTTGTTTTGCAAAACTCAATCATGCCCTCTCCAGCTTTGTTTCTATCAAGTCCGTATTTTAAAACTATTATTTCTTCCTCTTGACTTCTACTTTTGCATTCCAATAATTATCCTTTTGGATAACTCAGTGCATCTTGAGTGAATATTTGCTCCATTTCTGACTAAAGTCATTAGTGGAATTACTAATTTTCTTCATTGCTAGTTTTTGTAGTTGGTGCCATCACAGATAGTATTGTACTGCATGTTTGGCTTTGGAATGTCCTTTTTGACGGTAAATGCCACTCCATTCCTCTTGATTATGTTATTCTCGGAATAGTACCTCATGGTCTTCTTATTCAAAATGACCAATATCAAATTCATTTCAGCTTGGTAATGTGGGAATATTGATCAATATGCATTCCGAGGGGCTCATCCTCCAGAACTATCTCCAATAATGTTTGCAACAATGCGTAAGATTTTCAGCGTCTCCTTCCTCCTACGTGGGGAGCCAAGTCCTCTTTCATTGTCTGTTCTCAGTCTGGAAGCTCAGCTGAAACCCGTTCGCTTTGAGTGACCCTGCTGGCATTTGAAACACCGTGGCATAGCTCCCAACATCACAGCACGACACAAGCCACCGAAGTATGACAAACTGACAGGCGAGTGGTAGGCTACACAATTTAGCCTCAGTTTTTGCCTCGCTGACCTCATCAGCTACTCTCCCCCTTATTCATTCTGCTTTGTCCCCATTGGCCCTGGTGGTCCTTGGACATGCCAAGGACCTGCCAGATTTCTTCCTTTCTGCTGGCCGTTCACTCAGCTTCATGTCCTCTACTGCTAGGTGGTGATGCAGTACTAACCACTGTACAATCACGGCCACTTTTATGATCAAATTCTACCTTACCAATGAAAACCTGCCCTGCCGTCCTATCCAGAATTGCAGGCTGTCCCCTTCCACACATACACACACAGCATTTTTTTTTAATTACTGTACTCTGTCCTGATCCTTTTTAATCTATTACACTACGATCTTATACCATAATAGAATGTCCCTCCATACTAGGATGTTTGGTTCTTTGAGGGTGAGACTCTTTGGCACTTGGTAAGTGTTCAATAAAGATTTGTTATCGAAAAATGCCTCAAGAAAAATCCTTCTTAACTCAGTATATGAAGCATTCGTCCCAAGGAAAAGATGGTCTTGCAAGGGAAATGTGTACCCTAGGGTTTTTTCCCATGGCCTTTCCTCTCTTCCTTGTAATTCTTTGTTTAGCTCAGTCAACCACAACCGAGCATATCAAGATTAGGGCTGACTTGAAGAGGGATGTCTTGAGATGGATTTCACAGTGGCCCAGTGTGACACAATGAGCTCCAACATGAGAACAATTGTGTGTTCCTAGTGTAATGGTTACCACGTTTGCCTGAGATCAAGATCATAAAGAACAGTTGTGAGGGTGGTGGAGGACTGTGTGGTGTTTCATTCTGTTATAAAAGATGATCAACTATTGTTAAAGCCACCTGGCCCAGAAGTGTTTGGTCTTGTGGATGGTCACCAGTATCAGAGAAGGCTTGTGAGCAGAGGCTGGTGAAGGATGTCCTGACTTTCCCTCTCATCCCTTCCCTTCTTCCAGAACCCAGTCCCCCAATAGATGAAGTCATCAACACTCCGGGAGTGGTAAATAGGTTTGTGGAATTTCTGAAGAGGAATGAGAATTGTACATTACAGGTGAGGCATGGAGTGTTTTTGTGCCATATGAAAGCTGGTACCCTATCTATTCCATGAGACCGTAGTGGAGTATTTCTACACATCTCTCAGATAATAAAGTGTAATATGATCCGGTGCCTCCTCAGCCTCAAGGAAGAGAGCTAAAATTTCTTAAACAATGTAATCTCAAAGGAAAGAGATAGCAGAAGATGGCAGGCTGATCACTGACTTATAAATTAGAGGATTGATCTCTGCTCCACATCTGCCAAGCTGTATGGGCTGGTCTCTGTCTTGCAGATATGTAATGCATCAATCCAGCACTCTTTATTGGGGCTTCTTCGAAACAAGAGTTGGAAGGGACTTAGAGATAAGCCCTCACACTCTTATCCTGGTTTCAGAAATAAAGGAAGTGAAACCCAAGAATTAGTTACTTGCAAGAAAACTCATGGGTGGTTGTTGTGGTACAAGCATGGACCATACAATCATTAATGCCAGTTCTGTCATATTACTACCCACCTCTTCCTACCACTTTAGGGGTGGGGGTGGGGGAGCCAACGGGAAGGAGCATCTATGGTTTTTGGTTTTTGTTTGAGGCAGAGGCAAGCGGCGTACTCCTGAGCCCTCTAGTGGCCCTCAGTGCTGTGTCTGGAATAATTTCCCAGTGAAGTCTTAATAATCTCTCTTTCAGTTTGAAGCTGCCTGGGCTCTAACAAACATTGCCTCTGGAACCTCTCAGCAGACCAAAATTGTCATTGAAGCTGGGGCTGTCCCCATTTTCATAGAGCTACTTAACTCGGACTTTGAGGACGTACAAGAACAGGTAATGATCAGGTTTGGTTCACTGTCTATTGTCACCCATTGCTCAGTACCCACACATCTTAGTGATGGATCGACCACTTCTGTGTCTCCCACTAGATTCTTGATAGTTGGATGAAAGTAGAGAATGGTATCAAATACAGAATTGGTCCGAGGAAACTACAAGAAGATTGCAATTTTCTTCATTGTTTTCTCCTTACAAGGGTGGGGTAGGAGGGTCTTGGTTCGGCTTCTCTGGCTTTAGTACAGATGGCAGCCCGTCTTCATTGAAACAGGAACTCCATAGAGCAAGTGCTCAGGAACGGTACCTGAGCTTGTTTCATGTATCTTAGGCCCTGGTGTGATTTTCTGCCCAAGCATTCATTCTAGCTGGCACTAAAGTGCTCAGACATTTATAAAACTCAGTAGGTAACAGTTCCATCATCCTCTTTTCAGGCTGTCTGGGCACTGGGAAACATAGCTGGAGACAGCTCCATTTGCCGAGATTTCGTCTTGAACTGCTCTATCCTTAATCCTTTGTTAATGTGAGTAATTATAATCACCTGCACTTATCCGATATCTGTAGGACAGCCTTGTGGTAAGTCATTGGGGGCAGATAAATTCTAAATATACAAAATACCCAAATTCCTTCAAAGTTCTATATGATTTACCAAAGTAAAAAATAAGTGTGCCTCAGAGCAAGACATTGGTGTCACTGGTCTGAGCCCAGGAAGATAGTGCTTACTAACCTTGTTGGATTGTAGAGTCTTGTTTTGTTCATACCTGCCCCGTTGTTGAACCAGTGAATAGAGATACCAGCCCACCTGAAAAAATCCAGTAGTCGACAGAATGCACTGATAGGATTTGACGTTATGATCATGGGTACACTGGACATACTCATACCCTTAAACTAGAGCTACATATAAGTAGACCAGTATTCTTCAGACCACAAACAAATAGACTTCTACATCCCTCTTTCTAGGACCCTTCACAGAAAATGATTCCATACTGCATGGTTAAAGCACTTCTACTAGATTTTTTTTTTTTTTTTTTTAAGGAGAATACTATATCCAATCTTAAAATATTTGCTGGCTCACTGAAAAACTTATTGTGTATGCATTTGTTTTGATTTTTTAATACTTTTATTGTGGGCTTCTACATCTCTTATAACAAACCGTACATTCATCCAGAGTGTCAAGCACATTTGCATATATGCTACCATGATCATTTCTATTTAAAAAAAAAATTTATTGGGGGCTCTTACATCTCATCACAATCCATACATTCATCCCCCGTGTCAAGCACATTTTCACTTGCGTTTTATTTTTGTTTTAACTATAGTCTTTGTATTTCATTTGTGTTTTAACGATAGTCTTAGCTGACCACAGCTAGTCCCAGTCCCTGCACAGTTAGATGTAGACCTCCTGGTCCAAGCAAACTCTCTTTGATTTGTGGGGAGGAAGAACTGGAGAGACAACTCATGTCTCAAGGTTTCAACTGCAGGGTGTGCTAGCACCAGCCCTGTGTTGTCATATGGTGCTCAGGATCTGGCTTTGCTGTTTCCTCCAGGCTCCTTACCAAGTCCACACGGCTGACAATGACACGGAATGCTGTCTGGGCCCTGTCAAACCTCTGCCGGGGCAAGAATCCACCTCCAGAATTTCAAAAGGTGAGTGCTGCATACCAGTCTCTGAACAATACCAGGTACTTTCAAATGGAAGAATTTGCATATGGGGGGGTGTTTACGTCTTTGGGGAACCCCTTGGAGCCTCAAATCAGACCCACGTGGAATGGAAGAGGTGATAACAGTAGAGGAGATGATGTGTGCCTGGGGCATGCCTAGATGATAAAGTGGAAAAAAGGTAGGCCGAATGGTTTAGTGTGATAGATATCCCAGGGTCCAGAATTGCTTGTGAGGGGAGGAGTAGCAGTGTTAGGATAGTAACAGAGCTGCCTCCTGATGAGCCCTTCACACTCTCTACTTCCAACAGGTCTCTCCTTGTTTGCCTGTGCTATCTCGCCTACTATTCAGTAGTGATTCAGACTTGCTGGCGGATGCGTGCTGGGCCCTCTCTTATCTGTCAGATGGCCCCAATGAGAAGATTCAGGCAGTCATAGACTCTGGAGTTTGTCGGCGACTGGTTGAACTGCTGATGTGAGTGATCTTCATTAGGTATATGGATTCCCTAAGCTTACATCGAGAAGCTTATTGTTATCCACTCAAGCCATAAGAAAGCTTCCATCCTTGGCTGCTCAGTATGATTCTACTGATCATTGCTTCCTCCTTCTGTAGGCATAATGATTACAAAGTGGCTTCTCCTGCCCTGCGAGCTGTGGGGAACATTGTCACTGGGGATGACATCCAGACCCAGGTGAGGAGGAGCAGGTATAGCACCTTACCTCAGGCCAGCTCTAAGAGAGCAGAGTGGAGAGCCGCCTCTGCACAAAAGCTGTATCTCCTGAGACCTTTAATTCTGATAGGAGGCAATCAGGTCTCGGAGAGAAAGCATGGGCTTGAGTAGAGAATTCCAACTCTGCCACTTTCTGTATGATGGTGGAGCTTGTTTTTTAGAAACACGTCATCATTCACTGGATACTTGTTAAGGAACACTAAGTGCAATAATCTGACCGGAACTTTGTAAGGTGGTGCTTCATGAGTTTTTACTGCCAGCTTCGATATACTGACAGCTATTGAACATCATCCATATTGCCTAGACCTTTAGGGTCTTATGACCATTACCTTGTGTTAATAAGGAACTCCTCCAGAAGGGGCACGGGAAACAAGCTTTTCTTTGGGTCCTGAGCACCTTAACGTATAATTTTGTAGAATTCTCTTGTATGTACGTATGTATGTATATATGTATGTATGTATGTATATCACTCCATAGTTCAATCACATCAATCCACAGTTGTAGAATTCTTGACAGGTTTTCTTACTAGGTGAGCATTCTCACTCAAACCTGCACTCTAATTTTCCAGGTCATTCTTAACTGTTCAGCCCTCCCTTGCCTCCTTCATTTGCTGAGCAGCCCCAAAGAGTCGATCCGGAAGGAAGCTTGTTGGACCATCTCAAACATCACTGCTGGCAACAGAGCTCAAATACAGGTAGAACAGGCAATGAAGTTAGGGATGCTGGGTGTAGGTAGGCATGGAAATGTAGGAGGTTGTGGAATATTTGCTTCTAGAAGGACAGTTTCTCTAGAATGGGGTCCTGTATGCTGTTAACCAAAGAACCTCTGTAACTGAAACCAAGTTCCTGTACAGCCTGTCAATTCTGTGGGGAAAACAGGAGAACCCCAAGGAAGGGGATTGGCTTAGCTGATTTGTGGGCTGGATGGACTTTGATGCAGTGAAATCCTTGGAAGGGGCTTTCTGTTGTCATTCTCTGAGAGCTTGCTCCCACTCTCTCTTAGGCTGTCATAGACGCGAATATCTTCCCTGTGCTGATCGAAATCCTTCAGAAAGCAGAGTTCCGTACAAGGAAAGAAGCAACTTGGGCTATCACCAATGCCACATCAGGAGGGACCCCTGAGCAGATCAGGTATCACATTCCCTTCAGTTACGTGTTTGCTGTCTCTCTTGGAAGGGCTAGCCCTCGCCCAATTGCACTAGAGTTTATTTTCTAAGTTGCTACAGTGGATTGGAATCTGGAACCAATTTCTATACACTATGATATGTGGTATCTTCTCTCCTAGGAAATAGAAACCCATGGCATAGGCATGCATCCTCCTTACCATTCCCTGCCTTCTGTAGAACCGAAATGCATATATAATTCTCAATGGTTTATCCAGAAGAAGGGGAACTATAAAATATAAGTGAATATGGGATTGAGAGAGGCCCTTGAACAGGAAAAAGCATATGTAAAGGTGTAAGAATCACAATGCTAAAGAGGTAGTTGCAACAAGTTGAACTGGAATATCGTGTCCTTGAAAGGGAATAAAAGAAAACAGTAGAAGGAGAGGCATTGGAGCAGAGACCCAGAGCCTATCTGTGGACAATGGGACATTCCCTCCCAGAGGGGTCAGAGGGAAGGGATGTGTTAACCAGAGTGCAGGAAAGCACTGATGAAACACACAATACTCCTCTGGTTCTTTGAGGCTTCCTCACCCCCCCATTATCATGACCCCAATGCTGCCTTTCATTGCAGGCTAGACCGGAGCATGTGCACATGTACAGATAAGAGCTATGAGTTCAGGACACAATGAATCCAAGAACAGGAATGGTAATAGCAGTGCCAGAAGGGTAAGGTCAAGGGGGAGAGGAGGAAAGGAAGGGAGAACGAATCACAGTAATCAACACGTAACCGTACACCCTGCCCACCTCCAGGGGGACTAACAACAGAAACGATAGGGGAAAGGAGACAGTGGTGGGTGTAAGATATGAAAACAATAATAATTTATAATTTATCAAGGGCTCACAGGGTGGGGGGAGGGTAAAAAGAGGAGCTGATACTAAGGGCTCGATAGAAAGTAAATGTCTAGAAAAGAAGGATGGCAACATATGCACAGCTATGCTTGATACAATTGATGGATGGGCTGTTGTAAAAGTTGTAAGAGCCCCCAATAAAATGATCTTTTAATAAAAATAAAAACAGGAGCCAAAATAGAGGTCTGTATTGTCTTCCCACAGTGTGAGCTTGGGGAAAATGAGCCCGTGAAATTTTTTAAGCAGAGAAATGATGTGTTCAGGAGAGGATAATGTAGCAAAGGAAACATTAAAGGCCAGAAGGAGGGATCTATTGCAGTCATCCACAAGGGAATTAATTTTGTCAGTGACAAAGGGAGGAATGGAGAGATTGAGATAGAAAAGGAATAAGTAATTACTCAGAAATCAATATATGGTGGTGACCCAAAGCCCATTAGTAGGCCACTGGAGATCCCCTTGCAGAGGGGGTCTCGGGGAGGAGATGAGCCAGTCAGGGTGTGATGTAACAATGATGAGAAATACAACTTTCCTCTAGTTCCTAAATGTTTCCTCCCGGCTCCCACTACCATGACTCGAATTCGACCTTGCAAGTCTGGCTAGACCAGAGGATGTTCACTGGTACAGATAGAAACTGAAAATACAGGGACTCCAGGGCAGATGAGCCCTACAGGACCAGTGGTGTGAGTGGCGAAACGGAGGGTAGAGGGAGAGTGGGTAGGAAAGAGGGAACCGATTACAAGGAACTCTATGTGACCTCCTCCCTGGGGGACAGACAACCGAAAAGAAGGTGAAGGGAGACGTCGGACAGGGCAAGATATGACAAAATACCAATTTATAAACTATCAAGGGCTCATGAGGGAGGGGGGAGTGGGGAGGGAGGGATAAAAATGAGGACCTAATGCCGGGGGTTTAAGTGGAGAGGAAATGTTTTGAGAATGATGAGGGCAATGAATGTATAAATGCGCTTTACACAATTGATGTGTGTATGGATTGTGATGAGTTGTATGAGCCCCTAATAAAATGATTTTAAAAAAAAAAAGCATAAGAAATTGGAAAAATATGAGGAACAGTGTAAAATGTTCATAGGAAAATATGACATTTTAAATTTTATTTATGCAAAGCCCTTTTTAATTTCCTCATATAAATATCAATAGAATATTATTATGAGTATATTAAATTAAATAAATAAAGTGTACTGCAGTCATATGCAAACATGATTTTAAATGATACTTATAATTTAAGTAATTTGGAAAGGGCATGTGATGTATTACATGAAAAATTAAGACAGAAAACTCTTTTCATAGTAGACTATCAAGGAAAGAGCATTGATTATGCACTGAAAAAGTATGCACTGTGAAAACGAAGAAAACATAAAAATGTATTTAGTAATATGAATAATTAAAACATTTAAAAATTTTTTTTAAAAAGTGTATTGCTTAGAGTGTTGACATGTGTCCAGGAGACTCACAAACCAAAGCATTTGCTCAGCATTAATTTTGAATTTGCTGGTCTTTGACCCCCAGGTATCTGGTCTCCCTGGGCTGTATCAAGCCTCTGTGTGACTTGCTAACTGTGATGGATTCAAAGATTGTACAAGTGGCCCTCAATGGACTGGAGAACATCCTTCGGCTTGGAGAGCAAGAGGCCAAGCGCAGTGGCTCAGGGATCAATTCCTACTGTGGCCTCATTGAGGAAGCTTATGGTATGTGTCATCTCCCCACTCTATCTCACCCTTAACCAGAGAGGTTCAAAGTCAGAGCCTGGGATCTGCCGGCCTCAAAATACAGGGATGTGTGTTTTTCTGGAAGCACCTTTGACTTTCAAGAGACTTAAGTCTGCATCTCAAAACTGGTTAAGAACACCTGTTCTCAAAAAAAAAAAAAAAACACCTATTCTCACTGAGTTGCACCAGGAGAAAGGAGAAGATGAACAAAACCATCTACAGGGTTTCATGAGTTCCCGTGGGACTAATAAGCATGTTTCTTGTGTCTGAGGTAGGCTGAGATTTGGATTTGAGTCATGTTTTGATCCACGGTTTTTTATTGATTAATTGATTGGTCAATCAAAGATCGAAGGTTTTATGTACCAGTTTCTTCTCTTGCCTGAGAAAAAGTACCATATTACTCAAGTATAAGCCGACCAGAATATCAGCCGAAGCACCCAATTTTACCACAAAAACTGCATTTAAAGTGTGCTGAAAAACTCAGCTTATACATGAGTATATATGGTAGATCTTTCTGATAGGCCCTACCCAGATAAAGGTTCAGAACTGAAGCTGGAACTTGAAGGCCTGTGTTTACAGCTGAGTTTCTAACAAAGTAATTAAAGGGTCAGATTCACCTCCTCGCTTATTTCTGTTAATAGAGACTCAGGTTAAAAACATGCCCCCCATCACAGTTAGTGAGAAGCAGAATCAAGGCTAGAATCTCTTCTTTAACAAAGGACAGTTTGAAAAATAAAAAAACAAAAACAAAAAAAAACGGACAGTTTGATCTATTTCATTTGGGAATATGGAGTCCAGGGAAAGATAATGGCTGTCTTTGAAATTGGCGATTTGCTCATATTATGTTTGTAAACACCCAAATCTCAGGGAAGGAAAAATAAATAAATGTAATATGAGCTCAATTTCTTCCCATAGTAAAGCATTCAAACTTCATTCTTCCTCCTCCTCCTTTCTTGCCACCAAAGGTTTAGATAAAATCGAGTTTCTCCAGAGTCACGAGAACCAGGAAATCTATCAGAAGGCATTTGACCTCATTGAGCACTACTTTGGTGTGGAAGATGACGACAGCAGCCTGGCTCCCCAAGTGGATGAAACGCAACAGCAGTTTATCTTCCAGCAGCCTGAGGCCCCCATGGAGGGCTTCCAGCTATAATGTCTGCCTCCGGGGAGGGGAGGGGATGGGAAGCACCATCAACCAGCGGAAAAGCAGCCCTCTGGTGGGCGGGAAACCATCCCCCCATCATCAGCTACCACACACCTCTGCTGCCCTGGAGACTGTGCTCTGACCTGCTCCACCCCCTTCCCTGGAGGGAGCACCCTCTGGACACACCATCTGAGGCTCCCATTTGGGTTTTGTGACAAGAAGGGGACGTGTTGGGGTTTTTTCCTTACACTATATTTTGGCTGCACACATGGCTTTAACCCAGGAGCCCAGGGGTAGACAAAGGAGGACTGAGGTAATCAGTTTTGCACCTTTTTTATATATATATTTTTTCTTTTGTGGTGACTTCCTTCCCTTTTATTTTTCTTCATTCTTACCAGTCCTCTGCCCAGATCTGTGTAACTCTGATCTCGGGTACTTGATGAGCAGATGGAGGAATTCCAGAGGTGGGGGAGGGAGGGGAGGGAAAAATCTAAAACAAAGTGTTTTTGCTCTGACAGAATATTAACCTTGTATGCTTGGATTGAGTTATTTAATTTTTTTTTTCTTTTGCACATTTTTCTTGTATTAAGGTTGCTCTTCCCAAGAGCTACGAGTTCCTGGTTTGAAGAATCCCAGCTATCAGCATTGTCTGGGACTAGGGGCTGTGGGGAATGGGGGTATCATGAGGAAAAGATCCCTCTGACCACTGGCCCAGAGCTCTGCTAAACTCTCACTCCCTGGGACATGTGCATCAGCAGGAGTGAAGGGGGCGGGGAGCCAGCAGACCTTCTGACAGAGCTTCCCAGGTGTCGCTACTGATCCCACGTTTCCTACCCACCTTCCAGATGGTGCGACCCAACTTCATTTGTTTACTTGAAAAATCCCCCCGGGGGTTGAATAAACTTGTGGCTGTATTTTCTCCTGAGCATGGGATGGGAAGGAGGCTGTCTTCCTTCTTTTCACCTGAGGAGAAGGTGGTCCTCCCTCGGGTGACCCATAAGTTTTAGAGGAGGTTGGAGTGGGAGTGTCCTGTATTGGGATAGCCAGGGACTCTTGCCTTTGGCCTCTCTTCCTCCTCTTCCATAGTTGGATCATGTATATTTTACTTTCAGAGAAAAGAATGTCAAAAGTTCTGTATTTTTTATATTCTATATATTAGGTAGGTTGATCTTAATTGGTCTCGAGGAAGAACTGCCTGTAATTGTAAGTAGGATACTGTGAGGAAGACCAAAAAGAAATGTGGAAGCTTCCACTCAAAGGGGACTTGAGCTTGGTGCTTTCCCTTTCCACTTGGATTTTGGGCCAGCACCTGGGATCAGCTCTAAGCGCTAGGACCTGAGTGGGACAGCTTGATTTGATTGTCCTGGTACCTAAAGGGAGAAAAGATGCCCCTGGACCTGGTGAAGTCCTCACTGCTGAGCAGTCGGCTTTCTCAGATTCTGTCTTAAAGATCCACACGAGTTGTCACATGGCTTCCACTCCCGACATCACAGAGATTTGAACAGCCTGAGTCCTTTTTTGAGAGTTCATTGCTATCTTCCTGTTTAGGGTCTTGCAAGGTACCTGGTTTGGGTCTTGTCATTTCTTGTAAGAATTATAATCCAGATGCCTTTTAACTGAGTAAAGCTAGTACAGTGTCTCAGTGACTTTCCTGGGCCTCTGAGTAGATTACTTATGATAGAAAGCCCACTGTCAGAGATCAAGGTAGATTAAGTTGTCAACTAAGTATGAGCCAAGTATGGAGCTTTCTAGGCAGTGTGCCCCTCCCATTCCACACCCACCCCACTGTGGTCAGTCAGAGAAACCCTGCTCCAAGCTGACTTTTCCTTCCCCAGAAACAACGTCATTCTTGCTTCCATTCCTACACATGCCCCTGTGGATCAGGTGAAATCCATCCTCCTCTGCTTACAGGTGCTCACTGTGGGCCACTGGGCTTGGATTTGGCTGCATGCTAGTCTTGGGTCTTTTATGAACGGTGATTTGGGGCTGGCAGTTATCAATGGAAAGTTAAGCTAATGCTATACTGCCTTGCTGAGTCAGATGTCACTTGGGAATGATGACTACCAACCCACGTTCTCCCAGGTAAGTAAGGGACAAGACATTCTTCACTTGGCCTGCTGCCTCTGCTACAAAACTCTTGTGCCATTCAAAGAAAGATTTTTTTTGTCTCCCATTGTCCTCATCCAGAGGGCAATAGCAATTTTTTAGGATCTACTTTGTATATCAACAATGATCAAAGGCTTAGTGTAGGATATTCATAACCTGCTTTCTCAACTGGACTTCCACAATGTATTTTGGCTTCATATCCAAGTTCATATAGATGGAAGCCTTTTTTGCTCATCTGCCTGGTGCTTGAAGCCAGTTTCCTCCACGTACTTTAAAGGTTGAGGTATCCCACAGAGGCACAATGTGAAGATACATTTCTCCTGGGAGAAAAGTGACCGCTGGGCGCTTTCCTTTGTAAGTGCCATAGCCAGATCACGTTTTCTCATTTCTTCTCTAAGCTCCATTTAGTTAACAAGTGCTCTTCCAACCAACAGATGGTTCTTTTGCATTTCTTCCTTTCCTTTGGCCATCCCTGGAAGCAAAGTAGTTCTCCATTCTAGACTTGCCAGCTGACTTTGTGTCGGCCCCCATCGAGACTCCAGACCCTGGCAGAAATGAGGGCAAAGGCTTTCTAGTAGATTCTCAATGATTGTTGCAGAGGTGGAGGGGCTGTCCTACCTTCTAATAACCCAATCAGGCTGGACACATTGGGTCCTCTTTATGTTGGCACATGGCTCGAGTATCCATTTTAAGGTCACCGATTGTACCTTTAGGGGTTCGGTGGAGGCATCTAGGTGTGGATTCGGAGAACAAGGAACCTTTTAAAGTTCAAGTACTATTTTGAACTGTGCAAGCCTTGGACCCTCTACTCCTAAATCATCTTACTAATAGTAACAGGGTCTTTGATCTATAGTTCCCAGCTATTTCCCAGTCACTTCCTGACCCTAGTGTTGGCTACAAGCTTATAGTAGAACCCTATGGGGTTTATCCTCAACTGTCCAGCTTACGTACATGAGGCGGCAGGCACAAATGACCTTTCCAAGGAGCAAATAGTGATGACTCAGTTTTCAGGGGCCTTTGGTGTGTTCTCCCTTACAAGAACCCTAATATCCATTTTCTCCAACTTCTTTGCTTCTCCCAGGAATCCTATTTACTGGACTTGAACATTGATTTGTAGCCTCAACCGTACTTTGTCAAGGAAGAAGGAGAGAAAGCTCTCGGCAGATTTTCACTCTCACTAAAGCCAAACTAAAATGAGAGAAAAAACAAAACTGGATTCCCATATTCTCGTGTCTACTTCTCCCTACACCTTGGCGTGATGCTTGTACTAGGTAACTAGAAGAGAAGAGAATGAAGACCTAACCATGCCTTGTCATCCTAGTCTTCTCTTTGTGAGTTCTAACTCATGGCATCCATCATCTTGGGTATTCTGGGGATTCACCTTGTGGGCTTAGATTCTACTCTGAATTGAAGGTAGGAATCATAAAAGTTCCAGGTTCCTACAGATAATAAAGCCCTGGGGAGAGCAGGCCTGGTTGGGGACCTGGGGAGTGGTCCAGCCTTCTCCCTGCTTTCCTGGCAGCCTGTGGGAGAGGTACAAGGCTCCAGACCCTGAACCACAGGAAACATCTTCCATGTAGGACTACCCCCAGGAGTGCAAGAGCCTGGGACTGAGAGAGTGCTCAGAGTAGGTTTCTTCCACAGCTCCTTTATAACTGCATTCTAGACCAACCTTAACCAGTATTTTCTCTGTGTCTTAGATTTTGGATTCTTTCATTAAGTCCAACAAGCTGAGAATTTTAACGGGCATCCATGTGGTAAATACTAGTGGCCAAGACTTTGATGCTTCAGCCTTCCCTTTGTCCAGCCCCTAACTCTAGCCCCAGATTAAGACCATAGCAAGGGAAGAAACTGAAGTCAAGACTATAATCAACACTGTATTAAAGCTGTTATTTTTTCTTAGAGCATTTTACATTAGAACTGGGCTATGTGCAGAACCAAGACTAGCGTTGAGGGTTAGAAAAGAGCATTAAAGTTTGAGAAAGATTAGTGCCGTGTTTTAAGCCTTCAGTGGGGTTGGGCCTACCTGGCTACATCTGAGCCACTCTCTTTGCTTCTGTCTACATTAGCATTTACCCTGAAGCCCTCTGGTGAACGCTGCTAGCCTTACTCCCCTGAGCGGGTCTAATTTTCAGTCCCTGGACATGGGGGAGAGAACTGTCTGCTTCAGCTCTGGGCCATAAAAAGGTGTGAATGGCTGGGATCCTCTGATTTAGAGATGTAATGGCTTTAGCACTCGAGTCCAGGAGCTGGGTATTGACTTCTTTATCCAGCTTTTGTGGGACCTGCTTTTGATTAGATCACTAAGGAAGTAAAGGGAGTATGTAGGGCCCCACCCATTCAGCAGAGCAGATGACCCCCTTCAAAAATGAGTTTGAATTTCCAGCTATAGACCCTCAGAAGGGGAGTCTAACCCTTCCCTCCACTGATATTTTTTCATAATTCATGTTTTATTTTTCTCAAGAATGATAAACTCTCTTTTCCATGTTCTCAGGGCCCCTGGGTAGACAAACACAGCTTGATTTCAGAGCAGACATAGGCCAAGAAACCATGGCATAGAGTGTGCTGAGTCCAGACAAATGATATTTATATACACATCCAAATTTGGAGAGAAAATGTATTTCTTTAGGTTTCAAACACTGTAATGATAGATATAAAGCAAAAATAAAAACCTGTTGCAAAGTTCTAAATTGTCTCTTGGTTTGGGGTAAAGCTAGGCTGGATTGTTTGGAAATGGATAAGAAGTATTGAAATGGGTTAGCCTGACACAGAAATAAGTTGCTCCAGCCTCCTGCTGCTATAAAGTATGTGTGTGTGTGTGTGTGGGGGGGGTTAACATAATTTGTGACATACAATAAACTACCTTTAAAGTGTACAATCAAGATAATGAACGTGCCCACACTTACCCTCCCTTAAGCCCTGCTGGGTGTTTTGTTTTGAATCTTCCCTTTCTGCCCCAGGAACCATTACTTTGCATTCGATAGTCTGTAGATTGGTATGCATTTTCTAGTGTGTGTCTAAAGGGGCTGGACATTTTTCATCATCAGTCCATAGCCCCCCGAGCCTTATGGCAGTGAAGACGGAACCTCATAGACAGTTCATAAGCCTCTCGTTTCAGTATAGGGCAGTTCCTAAAGAGATTGCCGACAAGAAGCCAACAATTTGACTTAGCCCTAAAGGGGTTTTTATTTAACTGATAATGTATTTCAAGTTTTATTTAGTTGCCAGTGTTTTTCAAATCAAGACTGAATTATCAAGTCTTTGAAAATTCTAAATACCTGGCACTATTGGACCTGACTGCTTGATCACAGTCTGCAAGAGCTGGTTTGCTGCACTCACCACCGTTCTCCATTGTGTCCCTGCTCCCTCACCACAGTTACTCTCTGCCTGCCTCCTCCACTTGCCTGCCACCCCTACCCATTCCCCACCTCACCCGGCCCCTTTTCCGGTACCCTCTTATGTTTGCTCCCGCCTCGAACACCCTCTTCCTGTGGAAATTAAACGAGATCATAATCGATCTGTTACCTCATGGAGAAATTTCTAACATGCTTTTCTGTAAACCAAGGCTTTGTTTCCAGAGACCTGGGTTCCAAATCCTGGCTCCTCAGATCTTTCGTTACATCATAATACTGTATTGTCTGTCAGTGTTTCCTGGTAAGGGTGAACTTTGGTGTTGGGAAATATTAAATAGAACTCTGCCCTATAATCTCCTTAACCGGACCAGTGAGAGAGATGTTTCACATCTTTAGATCCTAAAACTGCTCAGTTTGAACCATTTAAAATTCTTTGCCATAGCTGCCCTTGGTTTGCAGTGTACTTTGACTTAGAAACCAATAGTAATTCCAACATCTGATAATACTGTAATCAAACTCTTTCCAGAGGTAAGAAGCTAGGACAGATTGTAGACCACTGGAATGGTTCTAAACTGCCCTTCAAACTGGGCTAGCGTCCTTATAGTTTGGGCTACAAGGGCATGGTAGGAAATGGAATTGCATATGCAAGAACTTGAAAAAAATCTATTAGTCAATTCTGACTCATAACTATATAGGGTGTCCAAAGCAATAAATCTTGATGGGAGTAGACAGTTTCACCGGTCTCCTGTAGAGCAGCTGGAGAGTTAGAATCACTAATCTTGCAGTTAGCAAGTACTTCAACTCAGACAATGGCACAGTGGGCTCCTTCAGTTAAAGAACAGTTGAAGTAAAACTGACAGCAAGCCTGGGGAGGATTGGCGGTAAACAGGCAGAAGCCAAATTGTGTAAGCTTCCATTCCCAGGTATAAGGATTATTGGCTTTTACTCCACTGTGTAGGTGATGGGAATAAAGAATTGTGGTCTCACATTTAGAGATTAACTTTGGCTCCCCTCACCCCCAGAAGCTAGTCTACAACCAAATAGTGTAGTGTACTGAAGTGGCTCAGAATTTTTGCCTGAGACCAAGCTCTCCTTGCAGTGGATGGGAGGAAAGAAAACACATGTATCGCAGATGACTGACTCCATCCTAAGGGAAACTTGACAAAGCAGTTAGGAAGGTGCCTGCTGTCCGATTTACTGGTTCACCAGACTTCCTGATTTTGAGCCCCTACTCGAACTACTCTTGGACAAATTATGCTAAGCTTTATCTAACCGACTGCCCTTTAGAGAGCTTAATACCTCTTTAAAGTATTGTAAAGATGTAACTTTGATGACTGAAGTCTGCCTCGCTTAAGTATTTTCAGTCGCTTCATTCACATGTGAAAGTTCAGGCTTAAATAAGGAAGACTGAAGAATCAATGTGTTTGAATTAAGGTGCTGGAGGAGTAGTGATACCAGGAGGGCAGGATGAAGCTGGGAAGAGGGGAGGAAAGGGGAACCAATCACAATGATGGACACAACCACACGCACCCTAGGGAGAGGAACAACAGAAACCGTGGGTCAAGGGAGACAGCTGTCGGTGTAAGATATGAAAATAATTTCTCAAGGGGTCAAGAGGGAGGGAAGGAAGGGAAATACCTGATACCAAGGGCTCAAATATAAAGTGTTTAGAAAATAACGATGGCAACATGTATGAATATGCTTCATACAGTTGATGTATGGATTGTTTTAAGAGCCCCAAATAATGATCTAATAAAAAAATGGTGGTGGCAAAGAATATTAAATACATGGACTGCCAAAAGAACAAATACCTGTCTTGGAAGAGGTATGGCCAGAATGTTCCGTAGATACAAGGATGGCGAGACTTGCTTAGTTTGGCCATGTTATCAGGAGACATCTCTGGAAAAGAACATCTTGCTTGGTAAAGTGGAGCGGCAGCATAGAGAAAGGCCTTCAGCAAGATGGATTGATACAGTGGTTGCTACAATGAGCACAATTGTGGGAATGGCACAGGACCAGGCAGTGTTTTGTTCTGTTGCACATAGGGTCACTGTGAGTCAGAACTGACTCACACCTAACAGCACTATGCTCACAGGTAAAAGAACAATAGTAGTCCTCCTTAAGTGGCTGGGAGATAAGCAGTCGAAATGAGGAAGACCATTAAATGGATCTCCACCCCAGGGTGGCAGCAATGGGCTCCAGCACAGTAACAGTGAAGACTGGGTGGTGGCCCATTCGGTTGTCCATGGTGTTCTATGAGTAGGTTCTACTACAGGACAGCCCTTAACAACAGGTATCATTGAATTGTTCGCCTTATTAAAATATTAATAAGGAGACATAACCAGGGAGAGAAAAGAATGCCCAGTGCCACCGCAAATTAGTGATGTCAGGACTGGATTATAAGGTCTCCTGATTCTTTAAATATAGGGACTGCGGAATCCTCAGAGTTTCCTACTGGGTACGAGGCAGAGAAGTCACCATGTAGGGTAGCAGTTGAGGAGGGTGGCGTGCCGGTAAGAACAAGGACAAGTTAGATCCAAGCCTGAGTGATCTAAATGAAGTTGAGTTGGCTTGGGTTCGTTTGGCTCTCCAGCGTTCTGGCCCCTCGAGCTAAAGCCCATTCTGCTGCATTTTGGGAGTTGTGGCCAGCTAGCCCCGATGCATGGAGGGACGTGTAGTCCTTTTCCTCCCCGGCCTTCCAAGGCCGCCTTCAGCCCAGTATTCCCAGCAAGCTCCGCGCGAGCACGGGCTGTTGATTGGCTGGGGCGGGAGCGGGCGGATCTGCCGGCAGCAGTTACCGGGGGTTTCCGGTGCTGGGCCGGAGCGGGCGAAGCAGTCGGTACGTCGGCGGTAAGGAGCGTCTTGCACTTGCTGACGAGACGAGAGGTCCGGGGCGCTTGGAGGCCTGACTACTTGAAGGCAGGCGGGCCATCACTCCGATTCTGCGCGTGGACGCAGACGGGTTACTAGGTGTGCGCATGCGCGAGTGGAGGGCGCGCGGGGCGGGGCGGTAGTGCGCGCGCGCGCGGGACGGCCCACGTGAGTCCTGAGGGCTCGGTGGGGAGGGGCGGGAATCGAGCATCCCGCCACGTCAGTCTCCGGCCCGGAGCCAATCCCGCGCGCGGCCTGTCGTGAGGGACTGTATTTTGCTGGGAAGTGGCTTCGGGTGAAAAGGAGGCCTCTTTCTCGCCCGCCGCGGAGCAGCAGCGCCCCGCCGACCTGCCTGGGCACGCCGGGCTCCGCTCGGCCGGAGACCGGGGGAACCGTTGGCTCCCCCGCCCCGCACTCCGTCCGGGCCAGCCAGTCTAGTGCTGTTTGTGGGAAGAAGCTCGCGCGCCTGGTGGGCGGCTTCCCGATCCGGGGTGCGGAGAATTTGGGAAGTGTGGAAAACAAACAGCAACTGTGTCCGTTTCTGAAGGATCGCCAGCTTGGCACCTCACCATGAAGAACCAGGACAAAAAGAACGGGGCTGCCAAGCAGGCGGGCAGCACCTCCAACTCCAAAAGCAACCCCGGGCCGCCGGAAGCGGGACCAGAGGGAGACCAGCGGCGGCCCGGCCCGGCGGCTCCTGCAACCGACGCCGAAGGTTCCAGCCGCCAGGCCCCCGGGAAGCCTGAGGGTGTGTGCCAGCTCCGTTTTCGCAGCGGGCAGGGGGGAGGCGTTGCTGGTACTCCCGCTTAGCTTCTAGAGTTCGAGGCCGAGGCTGGGATTTACCCAGAAAGGAGGAAATGCTGAGTCTCGGAGACCCCCTCCCTCCCACCCTTTTCTGAGGATCGGGTAGACCCTCCTGTTCCACACTCGGGAGCAGAGCCCGAGGGAAGGCTGTGACAGGATTGAATCAGGTGGCAGTCAGGTGAGGGTCAACCGGCACATCCTGGTCCCTGGGAAACCCCCTGCGCACTAGACGCCCCTCTGGAGCCTTTCTTAACTTGGAGAATGGCTTTGGCGGGCCAAGAAGGACAGGGACGGGAATTCCTGACAGACTTGACCTCCTTTCTGCCCACGATCATCCTCGTCGGAGGGTGGCGAGGGGTAGTTACAGCATTTTCTAGGCAAGTCGGCTGCACCATAAGAGGCCAGGCAACGTTTCACCCACGCCAGTGAATTTGGCTAGGCCTAAAGCAGCCCTGCCGGTGGCCTAACTCTCTCACCCTGCTCCTCATCCTCTCCTGCTGTAGGGGCTCCAGCCAAAACTGCTCAGTCTGGGGCCCTCCAAGACGTGTCCGAGGAGCTGAGCCGCCAGTTGGAAGACATCTTGAGCACTTACTGTGTGGACAACAATCAGGGGGGCCCAGGTGAGGATGGGGCACAGGGTGAGCCCGCCGAGCCCGAAGATGCAGAGAAGTCTCGGAGCTACGCTGCCAGGAACGGGGAGCCTGAGCCGGGGACCCCACTAGTCAATGGTGAGAAGGAGAGCTCCAAGGGAGAGCCAGGTACAGAGGAGATCCGGGCACGTGACGAGGGCAGAGACCGAGACCACCGGAGGCCACAGGAAAAGAAGAAAGCCAAGGGGCTGGGTGAGCAGAGGGCAGCTGCTGGTCCAATCAGAGCCAGGGATGTGGGGTCCCGGCATAGGAAGGCGCGGGTTCTCTGAGCTGTGCAGGAGCAAGTGGGGAGTGAAACAGCCTGCTTGCTCTCTGAGAAAGTGGAGGACAGGAGGCCCCCTGGTCCTCTGTGCTAGCCACCACCACAGTGTGACCTTGGGCAAGTCCTTTCTCCTCTCTGGGTGTGAGTTTTCACTTCTCAATTAGAGTGAGACTCGGACTAGACTGGGATTGAAAACTTTGGTGTCTCCATAAGTCGAACTATCGATGTGGACCAGGCATGCCTGCTGCGGCCAAAGGATTGGCTGCTACCTGGTCCTAGCCAGCTAATGTGGTGCAAAACTATAGGCTTAATGCAGCCAAATGATTTTTAATTGTTGGCACCTAAAACACTGGAAGTCAGACAAAACCCATTTGTGGGCTGGGTCTGGCACTGTGTCACTGATGAGTGCAGCCTCTGCACCCAACCCTGGGCCTCCCAGGCCTGCTGCTCGGGAACTTGGCGCTGTGCTGTGTGAGGTGGCCCCTCAGAGGGAGTGGTAGGCTCTGACTCAGGCACAGGCAGTGACAAGCAGGCTATTAACGAAAAGCGGTTGAGAGTGACTTAGACTACTCCCTGTGTCCATCTGGGTGGGTATGTGAAAGATGTTTTCCTTTGAAAGGTCATTGTTTAGTTACCTCTGGACAGGAAATGTAGTGCTTCCTCAAGGAGGCCAACAGCCTGAGCCCTTTGTTTGGAAGGGCTTGCCTTACATTGCAACTGTAGCCCTGAGCCCTCACAAGTGAGACTCCTTGTCACCCCACCCCACCCCAGTGGGGCCTGCTGAGATTCCTGTGGGGTCAGTCCTCCAGTCAGGTAGGAGGATGGTGGGGAGTGTATGCATGCCATTGCGCTGTGTGCTTTGCAGGGAAGGAGATCACGCTGCTGATGCAGACCCTGAACACGCTGAGTACTCCAGAGGAGAAGCTGGCAGCACTGTGCAAGAAGTATGCTGAACTGGTCAGTCCCCGAGCTGCCCTTCCCACCCTCCCTACCTTTCCAAAGGCCGCAGGCCATCTGCAGCGGGCCTGGGGTACAGGGGCCTCCTCTGCCTTTTCTCCAACTTAAACGAGCCACCTGCATCCCGGCTGGCATTCTCCAGGCTGGCAGTGGGAGAAAGAGCTTTTCACATACCTTGAAACAAATTCCTTGAACAAGTTGATAGAGCCCTGGCTCCTGGCCTGAGTGCATCATCTCCCCTGTGTGCTTCAGTCCACAGTCCCCGCCCCTACCCAAATAGAGACCTGCACGGTGTTGTCATCACTCCAGGATCAACCCTCCTCACCTGGTGCTCTCATAACCTGGTCCAAACTCCCGATTTTCCCACTGCTTAAAATGCTGGTTTGGTCAAAACTGGGGCCACCTGAGGTGGCTTGGTTTCATTTGGTGATTAATAGTGCTCCTGAGCTACCCTCACCTCACCACCACTATCACCTATTTTTAGTTTGGGATTTTGGGGTGGGTTTTTTTTTTTTTTTTTTTTACTTTTTTCACGATAAGGTCTGCAGAAACTAGTTCAGTTGTCCCAAAGGATGCACCACCACCTTCTAGCTCTGTCTTAATGCTGGTGTTGTTGAACTTGTTTCTTTCCCTCCTGATTTTCTGTCAGTGGTGTGGGGTCAGCTCTCGATGCTTGGTTCGGCTACTTTGACAGGAATTCTTCTTGAGTGTTGATGTGTGCCTGCCCTGGTGGGACAGGGGTTAATGGGGGGATGCTGACCTGGCTGAGAAAGAGGGCAGTGAGCATGTGGACAGTGGTCGCCTGGGACACCCTGTGGGCAGGTAGGTCAGCCCTGTACAGGGCTGTGCTGCTATGAGCCCAAGGGACTGGACGGCAGTGCATTGTGTCGTACACAAAAGTACGGTTTCCCCATCTAGTGATGAAGTGGGTCCAACCAGTGGCAGCCAGTTTCCCCTGCAGCATCTGAGTGAAGTGATTCATTAGTGGTAGTCATTGCCTGATGCCCATTCACATTTGTCACCCGGATCTCCTGTTAGGCCCCGGTCTCATCTGTAAAGTGGTTGTTTTATAGCGTAGTTGCAGTGACCAAATCTAGAGGGAGGGTATTGAAGAGACGGTACCTTTCAGAAGGGTCCCGCCCCAGAAAGGCTGATGCCGGGTGCAGTGCTGACAAATAAGCCAGGGGAGATGAGGCCCAGCACCAAGCAGGGGCGCGGCCTTGGACTGGTAATTGTGGCAATTGGGCCGCTGCACTGCCTGTCTCTGTTCTCAGGGAAATAACAGGCTGGGGGAGGAGCAGAAAAGAATTTTCTAGAAGAGGAACTAAGAGCAGAGGTGCAGGAATGTGGCACGGGTTCTGAGAAGGGTCTTCCCCAAATTCTGCAATTGGTCATGAATTGATCCTTCCAGCAGGATTGTTTTTTTTTTTCCCCCAGGGTGGCTGGGTCTTGGGGGAAAGATTCCGGGGAGTTGAGGCTCTATAAGACCCTAAACCAGGAGCAGGTGAAGAGTGAAGGGCAGTTGGGTCCGTGAAGTGGAGGGTCCCAGGAGTGCAGTAACCTGCTGGGGACTACAGGTGTTAGAGCGATTGAACTGGAAGATGGTAGTCCTGGCCCTGAGATAATGGAAGCGGATGCAGGCCCAGTATTTGATCAGGTGTAGACATGTACTGCCCAGGGCAGTAGCCACTAACCAATGGTTAGTCCAGATTTGGATGTGCTCTGGTGTAGATTACTTGGGCCTAGGCCTTGAAGAGAGAATGTAAGATGTTTCAATAGTTTTTTTTCACACTGATTCCATATGTTGGAATTTTAATATTTGAGATACTGGATCAAATATAAAGATAATGACACCTATTCTGACTTTTTTTTTTTTAACATTTTATTAGGGGCTTATTCTGACGTTATCCCAATCCATACACACAGCAATTGTGTAAAGCACATTTGTATATTTGAGATACTGGATCAAATATAAAGATAATGACACCTATTCTGACTTTTTTTTTTTTAACATTTTATTAGGGGCTTATTCTGACTTTTTAATATGGGGCTTTTAAGGCACCTGGTGGCTCAGTGGCTGTTACCCGAAAGGTTAATTGTTTGAATCCACCAACTGCTCTTCAGGGGAAAGGTGAGGTGCTCCACGTCTATAAAGATGTACAGCTTAGGAAACTGGAATACCGTTTACTCTGCCCACTAGGGTCACGCTGAGTGGGGGTCGGCTCCGCAGCAGTCCATTAATGTCTTTATTGTTCATGTGACCGTTAGGAAATAGGAAATTCCTCAAGTGGCTTGTGTTGTTTGCCTACTAGGACTCTGACGGGCTAAGCTGGACCTGTGGAGGAGGGCAAGGCCTGAGAGCTAAGCAGTCAAAGGCTGGTCTGTTACAGAAATGCCCGGGGATGGTAATAGAGCAGGTGTGTTGGAGAGAGAAATGGTGAGGCAGTGCTTGTGTCCTGAAGAACTGGGGAGGAGGGAGTGAATGGGGTTTGGTCCTGAGTGCTAGGGAGGAGAACTGGTAGCCGTGCTTTTGAGGGGCACATGTCCAGAGGGTTGAGGGGTGCCGTGGTCAGGAGTGTCTGAGAGCTGTGTCACAGGTCGGCTGCTGAGGGCTCCTACTGGTCAGTTAGAGTTGTACCTGCCAGGTTTGGGGGCAGAGGGCAGGGCTCAGGCCAGCTCAGGTGCTCCCTGCCAGAGCGCCCTCTGGGGCCCTCACCTGCCCTCCTGTCCCCAGCTGGAGGAGCACAGGAACTCTCAGAAGCAGATGAAGCTCCTGCAGAAGAAGCAGAGCCAGCTGGTACAGGAGAAGGACCACCTGCGAGGTGAACATAGCAAGGCCATCCTTGCCCGCAGCAAGCTGGAGAGCTTGTGCCGAGAGCTGCAGCGACACAACCGCTCCCTCAAGGTAGGCCGTCCCCCAGGAAGGCTGCCCTGCTCTCCTCTGGTTTCCCTCCAGCTCTGGGGGATTGCCTGCGTCCTTGAAGAGTAGCATCCTTCTGTAGGTGGAAAGATGGGCGGCTCAGACCCAGCTAGAGGCCTGGGCTTTATTTCCAAAAGATCACAGCCAGAGAAGCACTAAGGAGCACACTTGGAGGTGCAGGGTTTTTAGTTTCATTTCATAATTAGATAAAGATTACGATCCTGTGACCAAATCCAGAATGCAGTGGCTTCAGCTTTTGTAGATTAACTAGCAGCCCTGGGGGAGGAGGTGATGGCTGCGCGGCCAGGGAGGCAGCTTTGCCCCTATTGAAATGATGAAGGAGGGCATTAAGAATTGCCTTACCCAAAAAAGGGAAAAGAATTGCTTTACTGATGGTGGCAGTGCTGACACGCAACTTGTGTCCCAGAAGGAAGAAGGTCAGCTTGGGCCCCAGGGTCTTCCCCTCTGCCCAGGCTGCGGGTAACGTGAGGGGGTTTCCATAACTGCCGCATGGTTTCACTGGCATCTCCTTACAAGGGCAAGCTTCCTTCCGAAAGGTCATGTGGAAAAATGGAATGCAAAGATGATGGCATTTTTCCATGAACTGTTTAAAAATTGTGTATTTTCTACAGCTTCACTGACCTACAGTTCACACATTATACACGTAAATGACTTCTTTACATTCGTGAGAGTTGTACAACCATCAAGCACCACAGTGGATTCCGGGACATTTCTTCATCCTTGTCCTGTATTTTCCAAGAACTTTTTGAAGCCTCCTTGGACATGATCCTTTACAACTTGTTCTGTTTGGTTTGTTTCTCTTAGTTAGCGTGTGCCTTTGCAAACGCCATAAATTTGGTGTGAGGACTTCTGAGGTGACACGAGTATAAGAAATGAACCTTCATCGTTGCCCACCCTCCTCATGCACCCCCACTGCACAGTAGAAACCACCACAAACTAGACCTGCTTAGCACAGGCTTCTAGACTTTTCTTTTCCAATGTAATTATTGTAAGTCAACCATTTCATATCCTTTTTATCTTTCACATTTTGGGATGCTTGTTTTGTCCTTTTGAGCTTATGTGGTGTGAGAAAGTTGTGACCATCCCTTTCCGTAAGGATTTGCAGCCTGGGGAACCCTATGGGGCCGTTCTCCTCAGCATTGGAATGCACTCGTGGCAGAACTCGTTCCATCCTTTGATCAGTGCCTCCCTCGATCCGTGCCTGAGGGCTAATTCTGCCCAGGCTTGGCTAGTCCGGAACTCTTATAGAGAAGCCTCCTGGGGTAGGGGGAGGTGAGTGCCCATTAAAACAAGATCAGTTCCCCTGGAAGAGGCTTCCAAATGGTCCTTGCACGCATGCATGCCTGCAGTCATCTGTGGGCAGTGCCTCTCACTTGCCCCCGAGATGCAGAGGGGCCTTGAGGTGACCCCTTGCACAGCAGCCCTGGAGCCGGGCTCTTCGGGATGGAAACATAGGAGGCTGTGCTGGGGGCCCACCCTGTGGGAGGCGGCGGGGGAGTGGGTGATGGACCTGGGGCTGCTTTCTCTGGCCAGGAAGAAGGTGTGCAACGGGCCCGAGAAGAGGAGGAGAAGCGCAAGGAGGTGACGTCGCATTTCCAGGTGACACTGAATGACATCCAGCTGCAGATGGAACAACACAATGAGCGCAACTCCAAGCTGCGCCAGGAGAACACGGAGCTGGCCGAGCGGCTGAAGAAGCTCATAGAGCAGTATGAGCTTCGGGAGGAGGTGCGCACACCTCGGGGGACCATCCTTCGGGGAGGAGGGGTGGGCAGGGCGCCTCTGGTCAACAGGGCCTTGGGCAATACTCAGATCTGATAGTTCTTGGTCTTACATGCGAGTGGCACAGTGCAGATTAAAAACAGTCTCACGGCGGTGTGCTGCAGCGGTGGCAATTTCCATTTTCCAAGCGAACTTTCGAGTCTTTGGAATTGCTGGGGAGGGACCTGACCTGTTGTCAGTGAGGAGCCCTGTCCCTACCACTGGACAGCGCAACGTGCCACTCCCTCAACTGCTCACAGACACAGCATCCGTGCTCCTTTGGGCACCTGGCTGCCTGGGCTTGTAGGCTCGCCCTGGGAAGGGAGACTCCCAGCTTTCTCTGGGAACCAGTCCTGTTTTCTCCCTGTGGGTGGAGGCCATGGGCCTACTCTGGGCCAGCCTCCTTCCAAGGCCCTAGGGTGTGGTGGTAGAGGTGGTGGTGGTGGTGGGTGAGGAGCAGTACCTTGCCCTCAGCAGCTCACAGCCGAGATGGTGATTCGGAAGTGACTCCCCTGGCCCACCCCCTCTCTTCACCACCTGAACCTCTGGGAATAGGGCTGCATGGGACATGCTGGGTTTGTTCCATCCCTCAGTGCTGAAAGATGTAAAGGCTCCTCCCACTACTGGGAAGCTCCCACTTCAAAACTGAACTCCCCCCTCTGCCCCAGGCTAAACAGGGGCTCCATGCTCTGCCTGCCTGGGTGTCCGGGGGACTGCCTTGGCGCCTCTATGTGGGTCTCCCCAGTCCGCTTCAGATAGTCCCATCCTGCCTCTCTCTGACCCTTGGGCCTCAGATACAGGCATCTGGAGTCCTTCACATTTCAAACTGGACCTTTCTCCAAGCCACCTACCCTTCCTTCCCCACCCAGCCCCCAAGTGAGCACCATGCCCCACAGCTTTTAACCCCGTGAGTCAGCCCGTCAGCCCAGTGGCTTTCCCCTTGCAAGGAGTGGAGCCCACTACCTCCTTACCTTTACTGCTGTCCCTGGTCCAGACCACCACCATCCCACACACACACACACACACACACCCCACCCGCAGTTAGGATCTCACAGCATCTAACCACCTACAGATGGGTGCGTCTCTGCCGAGCCAGCTAAGCTCTTTCTCTGGTGAAGGCACCACTTCTGCTTTTCCTTGACATTGACGAGAACGTCTGAGCTGGAAAAAGGGCTGCCAGCCATGGTGACCTGTGCTGGGCTGTGCATTTACTGCCCAGCTGTTCTGGAGCTGGTGCCAGCCTCAAACCCTTAGCTCCCTCAAGATAGACACAGCAGGGGGGCAGAGATTCAGTTGGGGAGCAGAACTCCCTGGAACTGGAGACCCCATGCTGTACTGCACAGGGGTCTAGCATGTCAAGGGGACATTCCCCCGAAGGTGTGAGCTCCTGACAGGCTTCCCTCCCCGCCCTCATGCTTTCCTACAGCACATCGACAAAGTCTTCAAACACAAGGACCTGCAGCAGCAGCTGGTAGATGCCAAGCTCCAGCAGGCCCAGGAGATGCTGAAGGAGGCCGAGGAGCGGCACCAGCGGGAAAAGGACTTTGTGAGGCTTGGGGCTGCAGGGGTCGGGGGTGCTGCCTGGGCAGACGGGGCGCTGCTTCCTCAGAAAGTGGTCTGCGGGTTCTTATGCTTGTGGCTTAAAAAAGGCCAGACCCCTGGGCACAACTGACGAGGTCTGGGTGCCTGTCTTGGAAACAGCTCCTCAAGGAGGCGGTGGAGTCGCAGAAGATGTGTGAGCTGATGAAGCAGCAGGAGACCCACCTGAAGCAGCAGGTGAGACCATGGCAACCAGCCTGCCTCCCAGGTCCCCTCACTGGGCCACAGCCAAGGGGAGGGGAGTGGGACCCTCACTCCAGGTCCGCCTCTTGCCCCTGCTCACTGTGTGACTTGACCAAGCCTTTGCTTTCTGAACCTGCCCACCCCCACCCCCACCCCTGTGTGGTGGTGGCTAGGGAGCTAGGTCCTTCTTCCTAGCACAGTTAATTTTAATGAATAAAAAGTTCTCCCTGAAGAAAACCTTGGAAATAAGAATAAAAGCTAAAGATTAGCCACCCACATTCTAGTCAGCGTTAGCATTCTGGAGTCTGTCTTTCCAGATACACAGCTGTTTGTTGAAAGAGAGCTGACTTTCTCAGTAGTACTGTCAGGTCAGGCAGCCGAGTCCCCAGGTGTGTGAGCAGGGGGCCTCCTGCCCACAAGCCATCTCTCACCTGTGGCCTTCTCTGACCCCACAGCTCGCTTTGTACACTGAGAAGTTTGAGGAGTTCCAGAACACGCTTTCCAAAAGCAGCGAGGTGTTCACCACGTTCAAGCAGGAGATGGAGAAGGTAGGCAGGTGCCGGCCAGAGGTGGCTGTTGGGGGAGGGAGCAGGCGCAAAGTGGAACTTTGGGCCTGGCTTAGGGAAGCCGCGTCCCTGAAGTGCTTCCAAGGATGGGCCACTGAGAGGGATCGCCCTACATCCTGGAAAAGGGACTGGGCTGTCACTTCTTTTTGGTGGACATTTGACTTGGGGAGACATCCTGCACAGAGGCATTGACTCTTGGGGCTTGCCCCCCACCTTGAAGAGGCAGGCTGGCCAGCCCCCTGACCATTTCTTTCTGCCTGCCACATCACAACCCAGATGACAAAGAAGATCAAGAAGCTGGAGAAAGAGACCACCATGTACCGGTCCCGGTGGGAGAGCAGCAACAAAGCCCTGCTTGAGATGGCTGAGGAGGTGGGCGAGCATGGGCTGCAGCCTGGGGTGGGAGGGTTGGCCCTTCACCACCTCCCAGAGGAGTAGCAAGTGCTGGGAAGGCTGGGGGAGGGTGGAGTAGCAGGAAGGATGGAAGCAAGAGCGGGGAAAGCTGGGGCTGCAGAAGTGGCTGCGGAGTCTGCCTGCAGGGAGTTGCCCTGAGTTGTTGCAGACTGCTGTGACCCGGTGCACAGTGGCCGGTCATGAGGGTGGTGTTGGAAGTCATTGTTACAGATAGGAAAGAAGTAGGCTCAAAAGACAGCGGGTGCTTTGCCCAGGCCCCGTAGTTGATAAATGGAGGGCTTCTGTGCCTGGTCCAACAACAAAGGCTTGCATGAGCCATGCCTGGGGTTCCACACGGCACTGCTCCCGGCTACTCTGGAGAATGAGGGTCCCTTCCAAGTGGTTGTGTAGAGTGGGCGGCTGACAGGGTGGCGCTGAGGTCCCGTTTTGCTCCCTAGAAAACTCTTCGGGACAAGGAGATAGAGGGCCTGCAGTTGAAGATCCAGCGCCTGGAGAAGCTGTGCCGGGCGCTGCAGACAGAGCGCAACGACCTGAGCAAGAGGGTACAGGACCTTACTGCGGGTGGCCAGAGCCCCCACGGGGACAGCAGCTCCGAACCGAGGCCAGACACTGCCACTGCCCCCCAGGGGCAAAGTGGCGAGGGGCTCGTGGCCCATGCACCCAGCTCCCCAAGAGCCACAGAAGCTGCGTGCAGCCCTGAAGCACTGAGCACAGAGGCGTCAGGCTCAGCAGGGCCCTGGGAGCCCAGCCCCACCACCACCTAGAGCCTGGCATTCTGGGTGTACTGGGGTGGGGGCAGGTGGCTGGGCCTGGCCCACACAAGCTCTCACCATGAAGCCGGCCACTGCTCAGCCAGGGGGCTCTTGCCTGGCTGGCCTTGAGCACTTGGCCGTTTGGACTTGTGGGTCACTCTTATATGTACATGGCATGTGCCAGCCTCGTGCATTTCTCTCGGGAAGGGTGCAGCAGGCTTGCATCGGGAGTGGACTGCCTAGATGAGATCAGCGGCTCCTCTTGGAGCTGCCGGAGCAGAAGAGGAGCTGCTGCCTGTGGCTGCCTTCACCTGAGCTGGCAGGACTGGTGACTTGAGCGTGTCTTCTGCTGTTTGAGACTCAGGCCACGCCACGCCCACCCTCTGGAGCTTGTGACGATGACATGCCCAGACTGCTGGGACTGCCTGGCTGGGGAACTGGAAATGCTTTTTCTCCTCTGGACCTGGGAGAGTGGTTGGTCCCCAGGTGGGCACACGGAGCTACAGCCAGCACAAGGGACCCAGAGAGTTTCAGGTAGGGGTGGTGGTATTGGTAGGTCCTGTGGGCACTGCTGCCCCACCCTCTGGTGGTGCCAGGACCAGGCCAATGATGCTTCTCAGTCGCCTTATTCACAGGTGCCTCTTTAGCCCTTCACAAATGATTGACAAGAGATCACCCAAAGGATTCTTTCTGAAGGTTTTTTGCACATGACAGAATTTGTATGGAGGGGCTGCCGAGGAGGGCTGGGCCCGGCCCCAGTGTCTCACTTCCCAGGCCAAGTTGAGGCCGAGGCTTCCTGTTGGGTCAGACCAGAGGCTTTGTGGTCTAAGAAAAGAAAGGGCTTCTTCTGATAGCTGGCCACAAGCTTGCCTAAATCCTGAGAGACCTGGGTCCACCCCTTCCTCTGAGCAGCGCTTGCTGGGCACCAGGCTCTCGGTGGGTCCCTCTTTACTTCCTGCCCCCCACTCTACCATGGGCTATCAGCCCTTCATCTTCCCTGTCCTATTTGTGGGTAACTCTGTGCCCAAGGAATAAATACTGAGGCATGTCTTCCATGGGGTTCCACACGCTGGTGTGGGAGTCATAGACCCAACCCCCAGGGAGGAGGGGGAATGAGGCTCCACACGGAGCCTCAGAACCTCCCAGAGAGTTGGAGACACTTGTCACTATACTCTTGACAGTTCTGCTGGTTACAAACTTGCCAAAGTATTAGCCAGGTTTCTGGTCTCTACTGAGCAGTCTTATGAACAAGCAAGTCTTGGACCCGTTGCCCCACCCCCACCGGGCCTCATTCAGGCATCTCCCAGACACAGGAAGGAGGTTGGCTGGATTTCTGCTACTCCCCAGCTCCATTGAAGCCAGTCTGCCGTCCACATCAGCCACACCTGGCCCACTCACAACTTTAACTCATTTAAGGAGGAACATTGAGTTTCTCAGGATAGTATTATAACTTGGACCAGACTGAGAGGATACCAGTTGTCCTGCCCTTGAGTGTTGCCTACTGATCCCCGTGGGTCAGCCGGTGCAGCCAGAAGCCAGGGTGTGTCGAGAAACCCACCTGCCATTCCTCACTGAGATACTGCCCTCCTGTGGACAAGGATTCCTAAGATTGTTCCCTTCCCTCAGAAATCCATGTTTTAAGTTATCCCTGATTCAGCCTCTTCCTGTTCTAGCCCCTGAGGGGCAAGAACTGCCTTCCTCACATGGGTTCCAGGGGCTGGGGAAGTAGACAGAAGCACCCAGCTGCCCCTTGAGAAACGCAGAAATGCCTGAGGGCCCATATAATTCATTGCCTGCCTGATTTAAGCTACCTCTTTGAAGCCCAGGGTTTGGGTTGTCTGACCCAGTGTGGTTGGACAGTCCTCTGAGACCAGGCCTGGCTGCTGTGGAGCCAGCCACAGCGGATAGGCAGGCTTCCAGGTCTAGTGTGTGGGTCCCACGCAAGCATCTCTGCTCTCAGCACTAGCCACAGATTTCTAGGCCTCCAGCCATCAGTGAGAGGCGCCCCTCTCTCTTCCTCTCCATTGACCAAATCTCACCAGTCACTATGGCTGCTCCACATGCTCCGCTTTCCAAGGGTGGTCTTGGGCCGGATGCAAGGGGTGACCTCCAAGGACCAGGGGCTTCCTTACTGAGCAGTACATAACTGCGTGTGTCCTCTTTTGGGACCAAGAGCCAATCTGCATAGGGTTCTTCATCAGTTTTTCTCCAAAGGACCATAGCAGCCAAGGCCTCTTGTCAGGACCTTGCCCGCAGGCGCCCTGTGCAGCAGAATCTGAGGTGTCAGCAGCACTTACATCTTCCATGAGGTTTTGGGTCTTGGGCTCAGGCACTTTGTGTACAAGAATATTATTTCTGTAAGATGGTTACTTCCCTCCACTTCTCTTGCGGGCTGACCACAGGCCAGTGGGCTGCCCTAGTGTCTAGTCTGGGGCTGCTGATCTGGCCCTTCAGCTGCTGTTCCAGCCCGCCTGCCTTGCACAGCACAGAGGTGGCCATGCAGGGACAGCCAGCCACCTGCCTGCTCCTGGGGAGCTGCCCTTTGCCCATAACTCATGTCCTCACCTTGCTACCCAGACTTGTTTGAAACTGAAGACAGCTTTTTTTCCCCTCCTCTTCCTTCCTTGCCTTTTGGTATTCACAACAGCCAGAGGTTTGATTTTGATGTACTTTAAACCACATTAAATAGTCTGTTGCCTTACTCATCCAATCCTTTGGATCTTTTCCCTACTCATGTGCTCACTTACAGACAGACCATGGCTGACCTCAGGATCTGTGCGGTCAGCACCATGGCTGTGCCCGGGCATCCTGTGCCTCCCAGCAACACAGCGTGTCCTCCCCTCCGACCACTGGTTTGAGGAGTCCTTGACAGACATCCTTGGATCGTGTGATTGCTTTCCATCAAAACTTGTCCCTGCCCCCATGCCTCATGGGCCTATGAGGAAAATAAGTTCTTCAACAGAATGGCGATGATGACTGGGTGCCTCATAGGGACAGGGCTGGCTACCCAAAGAGCCTTCTGTCCCAGACAAATGGAACCAAGCTCAGAGTCCTTTTGGAATTTCAAACTCGTATTGGGGTGTAATCTATATATCATACTATTCAGTAGTTCAGTCATAACAAGAAGAGTAGTCCAGTCATCACTACACTGAATTTTAGAACACTCTGTTTTCCTTTCAGTCCTTTCACTGGGGGCTCTCCCCGCTCCCAAGATGGTCTGTGCCATTGTGTGTGCATATGCTGCCATCTTGTGCTCAGTAGTTCCTCATCCCTCCGACCTCCCATACCAGGAAACCACCAACCTGTACTCTGTGTAGATTCAATGTACCAAAACATTTAAAAAGCAAACAACAGAATAAACCTCAGTTGGGGTGGGGGGTGTAAAAGGAAGCCGATGTCAGAGAGTCCAGGAAGGTCTGTCCAGAGTCAGGGAGGTGAATGTCTTTGTTATGAGAGCACACTGTAGAGAAAACAGTATAGTTAGGTTAAAATGCAGCATCTGACTCGAGCTCCCTTTTGACCCATTTAAAAGGTGCTTCAGTTTTAAAAAGTTAAAGGGAAATAGGTGTGGATTGAGCCTTAGGTGAATCCTGAACAGAGACCAGGGATGCTAGCAGCCTTGCTATTATCATGCAGAGTGCACTGGACAGTGGATTGTGGGAGATGTAGTTAGATGAAGATTTACCACATTATTTGAGCTCCCTTTTGACCCATTTTAAAGTTCTTATTTAATTGGGAGTTAATATATCACGCCACAGTTCAATCACATCAAGCGGTATTTACAGTTGCTACCACAATCAATTTCATAACATTCTTTTCCTTCCTGGACTCCCTACAAATGGATTTGGGGCTTCTGCTGTTATCTATAGCCTGCAAACCTGGAGTTCACTAGTTTAATTGCTGATACTGTTCCCTCCAGATTTGGCTTTTGTTACTTATAGTCCTGGGATCACACAGGCTGGTGTGTGGACTTGTTGATGTCTCACTTAGATGGCTGCTTGTTTGAAGATAAGCCTTAAGGCCCCAGATGCTGTTCTTCACCACAGTCTGCATAGCACACGTCATCTCTTCATGAGGACAAGTATTCAGCAGGTTACAAAGGCTAATGGTTCTTATATTTGCAAGCCCCAAATTCATGCATATATCTATGGTTTATATGTCTGCTTCACCTTAGGCTGGCTATCAAGTCTTATTCTGGATCATGGCAACCCTTTAGCACAAAATAGGCCTCCTTGAGCTGTAAATCTTAGTGGGAGTGAACAGCCTCACCTCTCCCTTGGGCAGCTAACAGGTTTGACCCGCTGCTGCATAGCTCCTTCCCCAGAGAAGTGGAAATGTGGCAAATTCCAAATTGGAAGCAGCTCACCTATAGAAGTAGGTTTTCCGGGGGCGGGGGGGGGTGTGTGTGTGTGGAGTGGGGCTTAGAGACAATGGGCCTTTGTCTGTGCTGGGTTAGGGGATTTAGATTTGATACGGCAGGGGAAACTGCTTAGTATTTGAACATGTTGGTCAAGTTCACAAGGGAAGTGGATGAAAAGCAGGGAGACCAGTTGGAACTGAGCCGTGGCATCTCAGATGAAGACAGACACCACTGCTGCCAGGGGTTGTCAGTCACAGACAGCTTCCTTAGACACTGCACGTGCCCACACATGGGATGCCCAGTAGTGGGCCTCTGGGTGCCCTTCCGGGGCCACATTCCTTGGGTGCTTCTGCAGAACTGGCTCATCTTGCACAGTCCAGGGTGCCGGTCTCAGTCTGGCAGTGAGCTGAGGCTCCTGTGTGCAGACACCTGACTGATGGCCACACTCTTGTCTCAGTGGGGCCTGAGTCAGCCTGGCATAAAGGATGGTATTTGTCCAGCCAAGTGTGTAGGTGGCCAAGATGCCCTTACCTGCAGGCCTCATGGGCAGCCATGGAATGGGCTGGGCCTGACAATTGGTCCCAGTGGAGCTACCTGCTCACCTCCCTTCTCACCAGGGTCTCAAGGAGGATGGAGGTTTCTCTGTGCTGCCACACTTCCTCCAGAATCCCCTGGAAGGGGGAGTAGTGTAGCACCATTGTCCAGAGTGCCAAACAAAGTGCCTCTCACATTCACTTCAGGCTGCTGACCCCCAGGAAGTACCTGAGAGGGGACCGCAGAGATGACCCTGGCCTGTCCACCACCTTGCTGAGGGGCCTGTGGTGCAGCCCCCACCCTCCCACCCCTCCTCTTGCCTTGTGATAAAGTCCTCAGTGTACATCCCCCCTTCTGCAGCCGCTGAGGGTGCTGGGAGCTGCTGGGAAGGAGCCCTGGGCAGGTACCTAAAAAAGCAGTGTTTCTTTAACCCCACTTCGCCATGGCCCAGGCTCAGGCCCCCAGAAGCCGCTTGCTCCCGTGGGAGGGGAGGTGGCTGGTGGCTTTGCACACTGCCCATGAGTAGTTAGCTGAGACAGCCAAGGATGAGCCTCATTCCTGTGGCATCAGGTGCTGCTCCGGGGACCTGAGCTGATGGGCTCTGCCAGGTCTTTAAATAGCTGCCCTGTTGATCCGGCCAGCGGCACTCGGCTTCCAATGCGCGGGCTCCCCTCCTGGGCTCTGGAGTCAGGCACCAGGGGACCTGGCCCTTCCCTCTGATCTGGTGCTCCGTGGCCAGTCCTCCAGGCCTGAGGTGAGGAGGGGTAACAAGGACTGGTCTGTGGCACTGCCCCTTCACCAGAGAGTAAGGCTCCCACCACTTTCCTATGCAGGAGAGTGGTGCTGTCCTCAATCCTCAAAAGAGCCACCCGGTTGGGGTTCCCAGGCCCTTGGAATGGACCTTTCCAGCGCCACACCAGCCACCCAGCTTCCTGCTGCCCCCCACCTGGGGCAAATTTCCTCTGACCAGTCTAGCTTTCTGGGCAGCAGACCAGGCAGCTCTGAGTAAAAGGCTCCAGTAAAGAGTTCCAGTTCTCAGAATTATGGGTCGGAATTGCCTCGATGGCAGTGAGTTCGATGTGCGTATTGTAAAATCCGAGTGACCATGCATCTCCCATTGGGTGGTAGGAGGATTAAGCACACATGCAGGAACTTGCTATTCAAAAGATGGTGTTCTTTCCCTCCCACTTCCTCCCCTTTTCTCTCTCCTCTTCTGACACAGCCACCATTTTGTAACGTAGCTTGCAAAGTGACGACGCTTCCCTGGGGGAGAGGAGGAGGAGCTGGGAAACGTGGGGCCGCTCCTGCCCCGTTACTCCATCCCCAGTTCTAAAGGAGGCCACGTTCCCTTTAAATGCAAATCACCTCCCGCCAGCTGGGCTACAGCAGGCCGGGGTTCCCGAGGGGAGCGCGGAGGGCGGGAGGGAGGAACCTGCAAGCGGGCAGCGGGCAGCTTCGCTCCGGACCCCGAGCCTCCAGGTCAGTTGCCCCGGAGAGGGTGGGGACGGGATGACGCGGGCTTGAGGCTAAGGTTCAGATCCAGCTCCCACGCTGAGCTGTCCATTTGACACCTGGTTCGAGCTTGAGTGGGAGACGAACCCTGGGTCGTCCCCAGACACTCCTGGGGCGCTGGGGCACCCGCTCTGGTTTTCCTGTATCAAGCCTCAAATTGGGTCAAGCAGCGCCAGAGAGGGTTGATGCTGGCTCCTGTCACCTTCCACCACACCCCACACCCAGCCAGCCAACAGCCAGTTTAAATGCCACTCCCCACCGCCACCATCCCTGACCGCAGTCTCAGGCTAGGTGGCACCGCCAGCGAGGAGGTGGACCCTCAGGAGCCCTCAGCAGACCTGGTCACTTGCCGACAGGAGTCTCACGGGGCAGTCGGCAGCCTGTCAGTGCCAGCCACAGGCCTAGCCATTATGGGAAGACAAGGCAGCCAGCTGAGACCCTCCTTACACCCCCCCTGCCAGCCGCTGCAGCTCCCGGTGAGGGGAGGACAGCTGCTGGAAGCCCTCCCAGGCAACTTCTGGGAGTGGCCCTGTGTTTGTAAGCTGGAGCGCTGAACCCACCCGGCCTTGGGGACAGCACGAAGATGAGACTTAGTCACTATCTGGCTTCTCTGGCCTCCAGCTCGGAGGTCATCTACCCCCCAGCCTCCCCCCAGTAAGGACCAAGGCTTCTCCTACCACCACTCATCTCCTGGTGGCCATAGCTTGCGACAGGGCTCCCAGGAGACCTCAGCAGACCTGGTCACTGGCCCTGCTGATGGTTTCTCCAGTCTGCCCAAGCTGGGGTGGGGAAGCCTGGCCTGCCGGCCGGGCATCTGACATCACTCACTTCACATCACCCGAACGCAGCAGCTCGGCCTATGCCTAGCGAAATGCTTAGCCAGTATGATGTTATAAATAGACAAATGGTCCTGGGCAGAACAAAGGTTTCCCAGGGGAGAGGAAGTTGATAAATGGAATAGGCTCGTTTAGATACCCCCAGTCCTCAGCTGGCCACTTACCAGCTCCATACCACCCTGTCTCCCCGGCCAACCCCACCTTCTTGGCTACAGGGACCCAACCTGAAGCAGTAGCTGCAGGATCATGGCTTCAGGCAGGACTTGGGCTTCCTGCTAAGGCGAGCAGGGAGGAGGGGCCCTGGGCTGGGCGAGGTTGTTGCTGTTGATTGGGTTCTGACTCAGCTACCCTGTGTATTGAACAGACCCCCACCCGGGCCCCGGGCCATCCTTGCAATTGCTGTGTGAGCCCATTGCCCCAGCCACTGTGTCCATCCACACACTGCTCCTCGGCTTTCCCAAGCATGAGGTCCTTTTCCAGGACTGATCTCTCCTGATAACCTATCCAAAAAGGTGGGCCGGGAAGTCACTTCAAAGGTATCTGGAGGATCCCAGGAGCAAGGCTGGTATCTGACCCTGCCTCCATGGGATCCCGAGGGAACTGAGGCCCTGACAGTTGTGAGGGGACAGTTAGATGTGTCCAAGGACCTCCTTAGAAGCTCTCAGCTCGCCAGGCGAAGGGTTGAGTTGACCCCTGTCTCAATGGGGCTGTCTCTCTCTCAGGACCTGAGGTCCCGTAAGCACCCAATGGAGGACAAGAAGAAGAAGCGGAGTCCCAAGCCCTGCCTGACCCAACCAGCCCAGGCCCCTGGCCCATTACGCAGGGTCCCTGTGCCCACCAGCCACAGTGGCTCTTTGGCCCTGGGACTCCCTCACCTGCCATCTCCCAAGCAGCGGGCCAAATTCAAGAGGTGAGTATAGAAGTGGAGGAGGGATCCCAGGCCCCTACGAAGTCCTGAGGGGTGGAAGGCCGGGAGAGATAGCAATCGTCAATTAGAGTTGACCCCTTCCCTGGGTGGGTGCCAGCTGGAAGCATGTCCCAGGGAACCAGTCCCTGCTCTACAGCCCGAGACTGTGTGAGGAGGCCCTTCAGAGACGGGAGAGCAGCTTCAGAGGCGATTGGGCAGGCAAGGGCAGGAGGCCTATGCCAGACCTGAGAGGCCCACCCGTCATGAGCAGGGAGGAGAGAGAGGACTAAAGAGGCTCCGGAACCACAGACTTCCATGACCCTGGAGTGTCGGGGTTCAGGACATGGGGAGGGGGAGCCTAGCTGTCCCATTTGAGTTCTCTGGTGAAATGTTTTGTGTTCGGTCATTAGGAATTTGCATGTTTTCCTCCAGGTCTTTCTAAATACAAGCCCTGGGTTGCCCTGTGGCTTTGCACACTGCCGGCCCGAGGGGTCTGTCTGAGGATGACCGGCAGTGGGGAGGAGCTGACCTGCAACCCAACCAGGGGTGGGAGGCGAGGTGATGACTGGAGAGGCCACGCCCCCCGGTTGAAAGGACCTTCGCGGTTGTCCAGAGGGCAGCGGCGAGCTCAAATCAGGGTTTCAATAGAAGGGGAGCAAGGAGAGATGTTTGGACGGGTGGCAGACATAGGAGCTAAAGTGGCACAGTTAAGCACCTAGCTGCAAACCAAAAGTTGGTAGTTCGAATCCACAGGAGGCTCTATGGGAGAAAAAACCCAGCAATCTGTCTTCAAAACCCTATGAGGTGATTCTACTCAACTTTGTCTCAGGAGTGGGGACCAAGACGACATGGCCCACAATAACAAAATAGGCTCTAATTAGGCAGTGTGCAGAGTGTGACTCATTTCTGCCAGTGTCCCAATTGTGTGCCTTCCTCATTGCACGGCACACTTGGAGTTTCCTGTTTTAGCTGGAGAGCATCACGCGCGGGGGACACAACACTGCTGGCCTGTTGTTGAGGACAAAGGGACAGAAGTAGAAAGGAAATGGGAAGTGGACCTTTGCATCTTTATCTATGAGAACAGAGGGGCAGTGAGTGTCTGGGCACTATGCCCATCTCAGATTAAACTCCAAAACTTGATTTTGGAGATAATAGACTACTTAACAGGATTTCTGTGGAGCCCTGGTGGTGTAGTTATGCAAAGTCAGCAGTTCAAAACCACCAGCCTCTCCACAGGGGCATGTTGGGGCTATTTGCTCCCGTAAAGGGTTATGGTCTCAGAGACCCACAGGGTCAGGCACTTCTCCTGGGTCCTTTTGGACCGCTGTGAGTCGGCATCAATTCCATGGCGGCACGAGTTATAGGTGTTCTGGGGTGAGTGGTTCACTGACGGACTGCTGGTTCAAACCCAGAGGCCCCTGGGAAGGAACACACAAACCTGGCAATCTGCTTCCTAAAGGTCAAAACCTCTAGCCCCCTGTGGAGCAGCTCCACTGGATGCCACGAGTCCAGTCAGTCGGCATTTACTTGAAGGCAACTAACAACAAAATGGTTTTGATGGGAACAAGGTGGGAATAGGCCCCATGATGGGGGGAGGCCCAGCCACTCCCCAGGCTCGCAAAAGTGTGATGAGGGGCTCAGACAGGAGTTCAGTAAGCAGTGGTCTGCTTCTGGGTGTGCTGGGAGGGTCATCCACAGAAAGAGACAGATTTCAATTTCATATGGTCCCTGCTCCTTCCCTCCACCCAGTGCAGGGCCTGAGTAGTGTCCACTTCAACCGCGGGGCTGGGGGCGGGGCATGAGCGCCTAGGCAGATGGCATGAAAGACCTGGGGCTGCCAGGCTGGCCCCAGCCTGTGATGATGGCCATGCCCACTCCATCCAGGGTAGGCAAGGAGAAATGCCGCCCCGTGCTGGCCGGAGCTGGGGGCGGCTCGGCAGGCACCCCCCTGCAACACTCTTTCCTGACCGAAGTGACAGATGTCTATGAGATGGAGGGGGGGCTGCTGAACCTGCTCAATGACTTCCACTCCGGCCGCCTGCAAGCCTTTGGTGAGTCCTGGGACTGGAGGGCTGGGGGGGCTGGTTTCTGGGGTGTGGCGGAGCCAGGGTCCCAAGCCTGCTCTCAGGGCTCAGACCAGGGCTGTCCAGGGAAGGAATGCTCCTTTGAGCAGCTGGAGCATGTGCGGGAGATGCAGGAGAAGCTGGCCCGACTGCACTTCAGCCTGGATGTGTGTGGGGAGGAGGACGACGAGGAAGAGGAGGAGGAGGACAGAGCCACCCAGGGGCTTCCTGAGGAGCAGAAGAAGACTATGGCTGATCGCAACCTGGACCAGCTGCTCAGCAATGTGGGTCATGGCTGGGGGCTTCCGGTCCTGAGGGACATGGGTGGGGAGAGGCACGTGCTTCCAGGGCAACTCCTGGCCCCCAGGGGAGCAGGTGGTGCATGAAACCTAAGGCTTTGGGGCCCTCCATCCCCTCTAGATCATGGCCTCAGAGCACCTGCTGCCCCTCCTGACAGGAATCTCCCTTTCTCTCTGTTGGCAGCTGGAAGATCTTAGCAATTCCATGTATCCTTTCCCAGGGAGAGGCCGTGCGCATGTGCCCCAGAGGGGTCGGTCTCCTCATCACCTTCACATAGCTGGAGTGCTCACAGCCACACCCCTCTGCGCCCTGGTAGTCAGCATGGGCACAGACTGCCATGTTGAGGAGTACAGAAGGAATTTCCTGAGTATTAGGGAGTAGGTCATTGCAGGGAATGTTCTAGAACACGAAAATTGAAATCTTTGCAAATGCATTAATCCATGGCATTAATCCATGGCAAAGCTTGCCCGGTGCCCTCAGCATAGAACAATTTTTTTTAAATCATTTTATTAGGGGCTTACACAACTCTTACCACAATCTATAGGTACATCAAGTGTATAAAGCACATTTGTACATTCATTGCCTTCATCATTCTCAAAACATTTGCTCTCCACTTAAGCCCCTGGCATCGACTCCTCAGAACAATTCTTTTGACTAGTTTTAGACTACTTTGCCTTCTAGTCCTTAGTCCATCGCGCAGGGGCACACACACTAGTTTGATGGGGCGGGGGCTGGGCAAACAGCCGCTAGCGCAGGATGCACAGATGCAGATGGGTCAGAGGGAAGGCCCAGGCCAGGTCCCCATCCTTGACTGGCGCAGACAGAAGTTGCATCTGGCCGAGAACGCGGAACCCGAGGAGCAGTCCGCTGCGTAGAAAGACGTGGCGCCCAGGCCCAGCTACCCCTTTTCATGCCCTCCAAACTGTGACTTTTTACCCACTTGGCAGTCCGCGAGTCAGCGGCCCCCAGGTGCTATTATATGGAGGGGGGCACGGGACGGAATTAAACTCAAAAGCAAGCGAGCGACCCTGTGGCCTCCCGTCTCCTCTCTCTGCGCCTCTGTGCGGCGGGCCTCCGCGGAGAGGCCCCTTGGCACCCGACTGTGCGTGGGAAAGTCCCGCTCGGTGGGGGGCATCCCGGGCTGCGGCTCTGGGGTGGAACCTGGAGGGAAGGCCTGAGCCCCTAGCAGCCGGATACGCTCCTGGCTTGCCATTGGAGGGCGGTTGCCGCGGAGACGGGACAGCGGCGCGGGCTGATGACGCACTGCGCAGGCGCCGGGCGGGCGGGCCGCCGGACCGTTGTCGCCCGGATGGAGTCCGAGCAGTCGCTTCGGAAGCTGTCGGCTCTGCAGGTGCGGGGTGGAGAGGGCAGGGGCACCCGGTTTCCCCTCAGGAGATCCCAGACTGGGACCTTCGAGCGGTTCAGCCCCCTACCCGCGTGCCAGCCTTTGGAGATGCGACAAAAACCAAACCAAACCCACGCACACCACCTGGAAGGATACTGGGACCCCCGGACTTCCTCACCCCCTGCTCACCACAGCTCCTGCGGGGATCAGAGAAATGGCAGGAAGGGCCTGAAAGCGAAGTGGGGGGTCTGGCAGGCATCCTCCCGTGAGCGCAGGCACGGCACGGTGTCACTTCCTCCCCCGTGGCCGTGAGCTCCCTTGCAGCACCCTGCATGACCTGCTCAGGAGAAAGCCTCAAGCTGGCCCCTCCCCTGCAGTGACGGGGGCTTCTTTCCCCCTCCCTCTCCACTAGGCCCGTGTTCGGGGTTTCTTGACCCGGCGCCATTTCCGGAGTCTGCGAGCGGAGTATGAGGCGACTGTACGGGAGATCGAGGGAGACCTGAGCACGGTGCAGTGGGCTGAGGGCTGCATTCCCAGGCCCCAGTTCCTCCCAGAGGTAGTGGACTGACTCCCCAGGGGGAGGGCGGGGAGGGAAGGCTGGGCAAGGCAACAGTGGAGCCCACCGTTCTTGCTTTTAAAGCCTCCTAGAAGATGCAACACACTCTCCACGAGCGAGCACCCCAATCCTTGTCTACCGCATGCTGCTGCCCAGCTACATGGAGCGCAGGTCCGGGGCTCACACTTCTCTAACCGATTTGTCACAAGGTAAAATTCCGTCACACCTGGAAAGCAGAGGAGAGGGTATCACACCCAGAGAGGAGCCACTTTCCATGTAAAGAGCCCAAAGAGGTGACGCTGAAGAAGTCCGAAGGGAGCGCAGCAGACACAGGAACTGTTCTCTGCCCAGAAGTCCGCCCCCAGCTTCCAGCTGAGCAGACTAAGAAACTTAGAGAGGACTCTGGAGACTCAACAGGGGTGGGGAGCCCAGGTACCTACCTCTCTGCCTCAGCTTCCTCACCCCCTGCCCTCCCTCTTCTTGGTTTGGGGCAACACATAGTGGACGAGGGAAGGCAGCGGGCTTGTAAAGCTAGGACAGTGCCCAGTATTGGCCCCTCAAGGCTGGCTTCTTCCTTCCCTCCCCGCGCAGAAGCCACGGATCCAGGACTGCCCTGTAGCCGACTTGAGCTCCAGCACCTCCATAGCCACTTGGCCATGGAACTGCTGTGGCTGCAACAGGCCATCAATAGCCGGAAGGAGGTAGGCCCGGGCTGAGAGCCCTCCCTAACCACTCAGGGCCAAGGGGATGGGAGGAGGGAGGCTTGCTGCCACGCCTAAGCAGGCGCACCTGGTACAGTGTCTGTCCTCTCTCCTGACAGTACCTCATTCTCAAACAAACCCTGAGCTCGCAAGAGGAAGACCAGCGCAGAGATGGGCTTTGTGTGTGCCCAGGCCACGTGGGACAGGCCTGTGAGAGGGCCCACACACAACCAAGCCCCCCACTGAAGGGCCAGTCCTACAGGGACAGGACCACCGGAAAGCTAGACCACGGGGATGACTCCTGCTGGAGGGGCAAGTCACAACCCCACAAATCCCCAGATAAAACCACCACGGGGGCCGAGCGCAGGGCATGGTGCCACGGGAAGACTGGACACCAGTTGTCCACACCATCAGACGATCAGACCATGGGAGACAAGTTCACCAAAGAGCCAAGCCTCAGAGAACAGGCCTCTAGAGGGCCCCGCCTGCAGCTGATGAATCACTTGGAGGACCAGATGCCCAGAGGTCTCCAGCCCAGGGGCCACTGTTCAGAGAAAGCCAGGGGCCAGCTGCTTGAACTCTCTGGGGACCCAGGGAATAAGAACACATCTCCCAGAGGGCCTGAGTGCCAGAAGTCTGGTGGCCAGAGAGCTGGACCAGTAGCGTCAGCCTTCCCAAAGGACCACGTCATCTGGGATGGGACCCTGGCAGGGGCAGCACATGGCGGCCAGGATCTCTGCAAGACAAAACCACCCAAGGGCCAGACCTCCAGTGATAGAACTTCCACAGATGGAGCCTCCAGTGAGTCTAGCCACAAAGGATGGACAAACCAGAGGACTGTACCATGGAAATCAAGGTCACCCGAGTACCTGTCAGCCACAGGAGAGGACCACTGGAGGGGCTAGGCCGTGGGGAGCGGGGCGGACCAGGTTTCAGGGGATGCTATGAAGGTGTGACCAGTGAGACAGGACCTCGTCCTTGCTCCTGGCTGCTGGTGGCTAGTGGCCCAAGAGGAGCTGGAGTCAGGGTGGGATGAGGAGAAAGGGTACCCTTTGGATGGGGGGCCTGATGGAAAATAAAGCCTTTTCTTAGACGCTGAGCCTGCTTGCTGCCCTCCTGCCTCTGGATCTTCCTGGGCACGACCTGCTGCCAGGAGGCACCGCCCCGAGCCTGCTGAGAGCAGGGGCCAGGTGCACACTGGGTCATCCTCCTTAGGGAAGCGGCCCACAAGCCCAGTGTTGGCCTGGAAATAAGCACGCATGCACACACACATGCACACACACCACCCTTGGCCCCTATGTTGGAACATCTGTGGAAGTGTGACCTGTCTGCTGCTCTCTCATTCTGACTGTGCTGCACACTCTCGCTGTTCTCGGATGAGGCCCGTGTGGGAACAGCAGGATCTGAGCATCCCTCCTGGCTCTGACTCCCACATCCCGCTCTCAGCTTCCGGCTGAGGTTGCTCATGCTAAAGGACGAGCAGGCTGGATGTGGATGACACCCTGAGTACAGATGGGTGCTCCAGCCCGAGGCTCTCCCTGCCTTCTGATGAGGGAGCCGGCCTCCACCTTTGCCTGGCACCGCTCCCAGCCCCGCATCTCTAACTGAGAACATGGGAGCCAAGGGGCGAGTGGTGTACAAGGGGGGCCCGTTTCCCAGGCTGCCAGCTGCTGGTGATTCGGTGCTGCTCCCCTACAATGGAGACCTAGGTGAGGTGACGTCAGCCATGCAGGCCCCACTGGCTGAGCGTTCCCTCTGCCACGCTGTCGCACCCACCAGGTGGCTGACAGGGCAGGGACGCAGAATGGAGAACTTTATGTGGCTGCTGGCTTGGGGTGCTTCTGCGAGCTCCTGGCAGTGAGCTGGGGCTGGTCAGCTGGCGCAGGATTCGGGTGGCAGCAGTCCCTCAGCAGTTAGTGTGCCCCACGGGTTCTTTATGTTCTCTCGAAACCCAAACCACCCTGTGACGGCAGTGGTTTTATCCCGTCCTTAGAAGGGGAAAACCAAAATACCAATTTATAAACTATCAAGGGCTCATGCGGGAGGGGGGAGCGGGGAGGGAGGGGAAAAATGAGGACCTAATGTCGGGGGTTTAAATGGAGAGAAAATGTTTTGAGAAACGATGTACAAATGCGCTTTACACAATTGATGTGTGTATGGATTGGGATAACAGTTGTATGAGCCCCTAATAAAATGTTAAAAAAATAAAATAAAGGAAGAAACCCCCCCCCCAAAAAAAAAAAGACAAGAAACTAAAAAAAAAAAAAAGGGGGAAAACGAAGACAGCGAGGTCCAGCAACCTGCTAAAGGGGACACAGTCGCTGAGCCGTGTACAAACCAGTATCTCCTGTGAGAAGCATATCATCCTCTGGGGTGAACCTCCTTTTCCCCAAAGTTTTGCTGGATTGGGTACCCTGCCACTGTCACCAAACTCCTCTGGGGTGAACCTCCTTTTCCCCAAAGTTTTGCTGGATTGGGTACCCTGCCACTGTCACCAAACACTGGAAGCCGTCCTTGGCTTCCCCCACACCTGTGCTTACGCATCCCTTGCTCTCCTACCGAGCAGCCCTGGGGGGTAGCAGGTCACGTGTTCGGTCGCTAACTGCAAGGTCAGCAGTTCGAAACCACCAACCACTTCACGGGAGAAAGATGAGGCTTTCTACTCCCCAGACGAGTTGCAGTCGTGGAAACCCACAGGAGCAGCTCTACTTTGTTCTAAGGATACTGGTCAAAATGGGCCCCTGGCCAGGAGTTTGGGCGCTCTCCTTGGAAGAGAGCCATCCATCGTGCTTCCAGCAGGGTGGGGCTGGCTCTCAAGGGGAGACAAGAATCTGAATATTTGAGCTTCAGCTCAAGCCTGGCCTCCAAGCCCTCCCTGTCGGGAAAAGAGCAAGGAGTTGAAGGTAGAGTGACTTAGAGTCTGGGCTGTCATTTCCTGTGTGCTCTTGTGTAAGTGACTTCTCTGAGGCTCAGAGCAAAAGGAAATAAACCTTACTTGTCTCCTCACTGAGGGCAGCCTCAGGATAGACTACAGCGCTGTGGGAACTCGTTTCTCCTGAGTCTTGGAAATGGTGGTGTGTACCTGATAGGCAGCCAGACCCAGGGTCCCAAAGTAGGCAGGTTTAAGAGCCAGCATGTTGCCAGCTTGAGATGGCAGGCTGTGCCAATGGGCAGGGAACCCTGCTGAGCTGAACTCCAGCCCCACACTGGCAGCTGCCAGCCTGGCCTGTCACCTGGCCTGTCTCTTCTTGCAGCTGGTAGCCCCCTGAGGAGACAGCTCTAGGCAGGAAGACCACCAGTGTGTCCTGGGAAGCAGCTCTTGCCCTTTTGAGGGAGCAGGGTTAAGACACTAGATGGTATGGTTGGGTTCTCCAGAGAGCAAAGCCGGTGATGCTTGTATGTGTTATATGTCAACATCCCCACCACCACCCCCACCACCACCCCCCGGCAGCCTGCCATCGATGCCATGCTGAGCCGAGCCACTCCTGGTGGGCTTTCGAGACTGTTTACAGAAAGCCCAGTCTCTCTCCTCTGGAGCTGCTGTTGGTTTTGAACTGCCAATCCAGCGGAGAGCAGCCCAATACATGACCACTACATCACCAGGGCTCCATGTGTTGTATCTAGAGAGAGATTTCTATTAAGCAATGGCTTCCACAGTTCATCAGGGTTCTCCTGGCTGATGGAAGCTGATGAACCGGGAAGCCAGATAATAAAGCAGACAGTAGGGGGCACAGGCTGGTGGATGGAGAGATCAGCCAAACGGACCCACCATTGGTAGTCTGCTGACAGCACCTGGGATCCACAGGCAACTCAAAAGGAGATCAAGGAACCAGACGCAATGTCCAGCTCCAGCAGAAGGCAAAGTACCCAAGACAATTCCATCCTGCTCGGTCTCTCATACCAAAGGCTTATGACACCGAGAGAGAGCAGCCACTGCCATGCAATGGACAAGGGTTGAGCTGCGCCCCTACCCTTACCCAGGAGTGACTACTTGCCGTAATCCCACCATCCCGCTAGCCCTTGTACCTTTCACTCTACTTCCGGGCCGTGGCCTCCAAAGAAAGCAACAGCTGTGAGACACAGGGAAGAGAGATGACCCCACTATCATGACCCAGTTCTACCTTACAAATCCAGCTAGACCAGAGTATGTACACTGGTGGACAGAGCTAGAAACACAGGGACTCCAGGACCAAAAATGAGGAAAGCGATACCAGGAGGGCAAGGGGAAGGTGGGGGGAGAAAGGGGCAACTGATCACAATGATCTACATATAATCCCCTTCCAGGGGGAGGGACAATATAAAAGTGGGTGAAGGGAGCCATTGGTCAGTGTAAGACATGATAAAAAAAATAGATAAATTATCAAGTGTTCATGAGGGAGGAAGGGAGGGGGGAAAATGAGCTGATAGCAAGGGCTCAAGTAGAAAGGAAATGCTTTGAAAATGATGATGGCAACAAGTGTACAAGCATGCTTGACACATGGATGGATGGATTGTGATCACAGCTGCATGAGCCCCCAATAAAATGATTAAAAACAAACAGATGACTAGGAAGGAACAAGTGCCCCTTGGTCACCTCATCTGTCCTCACCTCCCTATCCCCATGGTCCAGCTCCATTTCCTACAATACACCCCAGACGGATACCCTCCTACCCAGAGGCCCCCATTTCTGCTGACCTGGGGTCTCACCTCCGAGGACTCACCAACCATGTGATGGGGCCCTTGCACGGTGGCTTGTGCAGGTGGCCCTGCTATTTCAGGGGTGCTGGTGTCAGGAAGCAGGGGTCTCTGTGGGACCAAGAAGTTGGGGACAGCTTTGCTTCAATAGCCCCTGGTCACTGTCAGGATTACATGGTGGGTGAGACGGACCAAAACAGGGTCCTCAAACCAGGCCCTGCTCCCCTCACATTCTGGGAGGCTTGCGGCTCCTCTTACCACACTGTTGTTTTTCCAGCCTGAAGCCATCCCAGGCTGCCCGCGAGAACTGGGACACAGTGGTGCAGCACTTGACCACGAAAGCCATCCTGCAGAGCAGGGCTGTGAGCCAGTGAGTGAGTGGGGAGGTCCAAAGTCCCCACGGGGAGCCCTGGACAAAAAGAACAAAAAGAAAGCATGCCTCCCAAATGGGACTTTCTCTTACACCATGGGAGCGGTCCTGGTGTCCCCGCCCTGGGCCAGGGCAGCGCCTAGGTGACTGGCCCTGAGGCCCCAATGGCCAGATGCCCCGGTCTGCCAAATGTGACGAGGCAGGCTGCCCACCAGCCCTTGTCCCATTGCCCTCACGCTCCGCCTTCCAGACTGCAAACCCGGTCTCCGAGCTGTACGTCTTCCTGGGAGCGATGGCCTCGTCCTTCTGTCTTTTTTCACAGATTTGCGCTTTATCCTGACATCAGACAATTCAGTCGTACTGAGAAGAGTTGTACAATTGTCATCATATTCAATTCTAGAACATTTTCTTCCTCCTTGTCAGTTATTCATGTAAATTTTCCTAATTGTCAGAACAGAACATTCTCCAGTTGCACAACTTCTGCTTGTGTGATTCAGTGCACTGATTATACTCTTATTGAAATCCTTTTCCACATTATCCCACCACCGCGGACATCAACTCAATGCCCCACACAGTAACTCTTTGCCCTTCACCTATGGCTACCATTGGTGAAGTCTGGTTTCTCTCCCACACTCCCCTTTGCTTTTCTCATATATCATATACTTCCATGGTTATGTTGCTTTTAAAATAAGTTGTGTAATCACAATCTGTTCTGGTGCTCCCTCCCCCTCCTGCATTCATTGTTTGCTCCCCAAAGCCCCTTACCCTCCCTACCTCTCACCCTACATCCCTAGAAACCCTGTATCAGTTATTATCTCTATGCATCTACTCCTTCTGTGCTTCACAAACTGGGAAACCCAACAGAAACAGTGAAAAACAAAATGAAGTGGTAAGGATAAAATAGTAATACAAAGATACAAATACAAATAGTGAGTAAGAAATAAAAGACCATCAATATTTTAAAAGCCAGGGAAGACACTTCTGTCATACAATAAACAAGGAATACTTGAACAAATGCATACTGGGTCACTAGAGAAGTCAACTGACCAAGTATCAAGTTTGATCCAGCATAATCCAACCTCATCTTTCTCGGGAGCAGCTGGTGGGTTTGAACCACTGACCTCTCCATGAGCAGTTAGTTCAGTGTTTAGCCCACAGCACCACTCAAATGACTTGCCTTGACCTGCGGAGACTCTAAACATGACTTTCACCTGCTGATCTTTTCTCAGCTGGCAGTGGAAACTGTGGCCAATAGAAAATGCTCAGAGGTGCCCCTTCAAGCGGTGCCACCTGCCAAGTCTGAGCCAGCTCACCAGCTCTATGAAGGGCCTCGGGACACAGTTGCTGGACCGACCTCTTCCTTGCCAGGCTGCATGCCGGGTGAGAGAACTGACCTAAGTGGCAGAGCAGGGTCTAAGGAAACTTAGTGGCTTCCTGTCCCATGCCAGGTCCTGTCCTCCCAAGAAACCAGTTGCCTTTCCTCAGCCACTCTGTCCTTAGAGCACTCTGTCCAGTGAGAGCAAGGAAGCATGCAGATCGGGGAGACAGGTGCGTGCGTGCGTGCGTGTGCAGTGGACACCCTGAAGCGGACACACTGGGAAGAGAGACAGTAAGAGCCGCCAGCACCAAGGCCTACGCTCAGTGCCCCTAAGGGCACAGGCAGCCCAGCGCACACCAAAGGAGCCTGCCCAAATGGAGCCATCTGCTTCCTTGCCAGAGCCCAGGAGGCTCCTCAGCCAAGAAGCAAACAAGCCCTTCTCTCATGTTCCTCAGGTGGGGGCTCCCGGGGGGGCCCCCTGGCCCTTCTCACCCCGCCCCCCACCTCGGAGAGGGGACACAAGGCAGTCTCTGCTGTTATGTGGGAGGTCTGTGGGCACATGCCCAGAAGCGAGCTGGCCCTGACTCCCCCATTTACTGTTGGGTCCCTTGTCCTCGCAGGGACTTGGCGCATTTAAAGAAGCACGTGGTGAGGTTAATGCAGAAACCAAAAGGGGCCTTCAAGCAGGGGAGGGGCTGGGAAGGAAGCCTGGCCATTGGCCAAAGTTGCCTCCCTTCAGCGGGAGTCCTGGAAGT